AATGTACCCTTTAAATCCAATTTTTAGAAGGGTATTCCTAACTTCGACTTTATTTTCTTCTTTAAAGATTTTCAATCAACGCTTGAAAAGAAAATAATTCCTGGAATGAATTTCCGATACGAGGCGGGGGGAGAGAAGTGGGGCACCTGCCGCAGCCGGTTCTTGCGGAATTCTTTCGTCTCCGAAGACCCAGAAGACAAAAGAAGTTAGCGGAACGGAAGAAAGCGAGGATCTGCTGATCTGCGGAGGGGGGAGGGGAACCTGTTTCTGGAATCTGATCAGACACTGCGACCCAGTCGCATCCGTATCCACCATCCTTCGATGGTACTCCATCACTAAATCATGTGACGCGCCACAAAGTGGGCAGATATGGTTAGCAGTGTTTGCATTCAAGCTGGAGAGGATGAGCTGTCAGAGGGCATCTCCAGCTCCAGTCCCACTGTTTGCACGCAAATATGAATCTCTGCGTGGAGAGTCAAATGTGAACGAACTTTCGGGGGGCAGGCAAGGCGCAAACTTCTCTTGTCATCATCATCATCCAACGCCATTCTACAGTCAATGGACTCTAGACGGGGCTTAAATGCTCCCCGACTCCACTGCAGTGGCAGAAACAGCAGCTGTGTTGTGCCAATGATCTGGCACAAAAAAAAACAAGACCCAGAAACGGAGGAGCACGCCATCTCCTCCGGAACAAACATTTATGCACTCTGTGGATACAGTGGGGGATCGCTAAATGAGAATTAATTGAGTGCTGGGGCAGACAGTCTTTAATTAATTGTCTGCGAAAATAAATCACTGAGAGACCTATATAGAGATCTATACTCCATCTACCCTACTTAGTTTCCCTAAACTGAGTCTCAGGTCATCTTACTTAGTTAATACTGTCTCCTATAGTTATATTTATGAACTGGTTAACTTAACTTATCATTCTGCGAAGGGGCGTTGGCAAAACAAAACAAAATATAAGAAAAAAAAAAAACAATTTGCATTGAATAACCCAGATTGTGGCCATTGACTCTGGGGGAGATCGCATTTCGTATTTCCAGTTTCTTCTTGAAAAGATCTCGGAACCGATCTCTCAGCTATGCAACTGGGCCTGGGCCTCGGTCTGGGCCTGAGTTATGGGAATTATGGCTTGACCAATTAAGAGTAAATTAATTCACTCGCGAAATCAAAAAGAATGATCAACTGGGCGTGACTCTTCTTATGAAGAAACTTCCAGAAAACAAGAGAAAGAGTCTCAAAATCCAGATATATATCCAGACCACCAATCTGGGTGATTCTGAAACCCCTCTTCTGAATATGCAAAAAGAAAACATGTTAAAACCCAAATTGATTTAATTTTTGCAGAAATCCCGGCAGAAACCAACCCTCTAAGAGGGCTTACGGCCGGTGGTGGTTGCAGGATTGGATTGCAGCCCTTCTTGCCAAAAAACCAAAAGTGGAGTAGCAAAATTCACTTTCACAAATCTCATTCAGCTCCTGCTCCATATCCGCCAGAGGCCATCCGCCTTCAGCCAGTGCACTTCCAACTGCAACAGCAACCCTTGCACTCCAGACAGGCCAGACAATTGCCTCCCTTCATGAATTCCCGAGGGATTACCTCGAAATGGGGGTGTTGTGTCGTCTGGCTGGCTGGATGATTTCAAGGTCCAAAAGTCAGGCCGGCAAGGGCAGTTCCTACTCCTCTAGAGGCATCGGCATGCAGGTGGTTGCGGGTTAATCGCATAATTGAGCAGCCCAGGAGCAGGCGACACACTCATCAGTGATTCAGAGCCATCCAACCATCGTCTGGAGCTCTAACAAAGGAGTCGTCCAACAAAGCAACACACCCTGTTCCAGTCCCACAAAGAAATCCGCGTCGTGGAACGTGTGAAGCCTGCAGATGATTGTGGATACACAGCCTACAATGCAAATATGCAACTTATAAATAAATACATCGGATCCCTGGCTCTATAGCTCTGTGTGGCTATGTGTGGGAGCAGCAGCTCATTTAACCCGGGACTGGAGTTGAGTTGCCTCGACCAGCTGGCTGAACTTGAGGCGACTCCGAACAAAGGCGAGGATGGAGGATGGAGGGCGGCTGGGCGGAAAGCTTTTCCATCAGCGGAGCTGCTGAGTCAGGAATCCAAGCAAGTCTGGAACCAAGACAGCCATAAATTCATAACCAGAAGGAGTAGGGGGAGTAGATACGTACAGTTATGGACAAGATTAGAGGACTAGAGGTCTAGAATCTAACTGGGGTTGGATTAAACTAGAATCTGTCTAAAACTATTTATTATATTTAAGTTATAGCTTCTAATATCCATCTAGTTTATAGACTCTAGTCCCTAAAAATGTACTATTTTCTTAACCTCTGCTGTCCATAAAAAACAGAGGGCGTTCAGCAAACCCATAATGGTAATCGCCCATGTACACAACCAGAGCCAGATGATCGTTCTGCAAATGGCTAGATGCCGACCCGATGCAGATAGCTATGCAAAACGGGTAATCGAACAAGCCGACCATATAAGGCGGCTAATGGTCCAAGGCTTGGAGGCTTTATTACCTAACAACAATTACCGAAAGTGAACTCGAGTGTCTGTCTGCCCAATTATAGTGGAAATGTTGCCGAAATTGTCACTCAAAGTGGCTCTCGACTTCCTCCGAGTTGGGCTTCTAGCTTCTGGCAGCTAGAAGATACCTCCGACTGGCGGCTGTTCAGTGAAGCGTCCAGAGACAGCCTTGAGATCCGCTTGTACGGCAGCCGATCCAATGGAACCACCTCCTAATAAGGACACCATGATGACGTCAAAATGAACTTACCGGCAAGGAGAGAAAAACATAATTTAGTTTTTAGCTATTTAGGGCGGTTGAAAGGTTCTGGTTTTATGGGACATGAGTCACGGGTGGAAAAGATGAAGATCCCCCCGTGCCTGGACAGGAAACGTGACTCGCTAGGGCTTCCCTAATTTACACAAAAAACCATTTATCTGCCAGGCCAGGTCCACCCCGGACTATGGAGGGAAATGCATTTTAGGGAGGAGGAGGGGATGGACATGACAGATATGTCCTACTATGGCCTCTGTCGGGGTTGCTTATCGTGGGTTGCATGCCTCAGTGGCAGACTCTAAAACACTAAACTCCTTCCTACAGCAATTACACTGAAAGAAGTTGATCCTAAACAGAAATATCTAACTAGTCTGGGAAGTCTAGTTTTGTTCAGTGTAGAATCTAGCACTATTCCTATGTCGGATTAGTGTGGGCCCGTCTGTCTGCATTTTTGGGCGCGGCATTCTGACTATCTGGCTTTCTCTGCAGGCTTCCGCAGGGAATTAGTCCCATTGACTCATTCTAGGGCTGCGCCCAGACACAGTCCCAGTCCCAGTCACAGACCCAGACCAGGCCAAAACTAGTCGTCGCAGCCAGGCAATCAAAATCGACATTTAGTTTTATGGCGACTCCGAACCGAACGAACATGCAATGTGTCCAAAGTTCAATGCACTTGCCACTCAGCCTCAAACTCGGTTGCAGCCAGATACGTGCCTTAGTACTAGTACTAGCCAGTAGTAGGTTAGATCGCGTGACTATACTTAAATATGTATGTACACTATGTACCTTCTATGAAAATAGTAATTCCCCAGCATGGCACGTGACGACATTACGCCCAAAAGTATCCCCCATTTGCGAAAGGATATAAGGATATGGAGGAGTAGGCCCGGTAGACGAGTTGGTATGCCCCTAATCACTGGCCATCACTGTGGCTGGGCGTCCAATCGATTTCCATTGCAATTACTCATCTATCGCAGCAATTACGCGTATTATGATGATAAGTGCGAACCACAACAGCTGCAGGCAGATTTCCGAGTGACTCAAGAGGGCTATTTGGAGCAGGGTGGTGGGGCTAGATCTTCCTAGAAGTGGGAATCTTTTAAAAGGTCAAGAACGGAGAAACATGTGCCAAACAAGTGGTGCTAGAAGAAGTTTTCATTCTAATCAGAGTCTATATACATAGTATATAGTTTTAGAAGTCTATAGATTGTATTTTAATAGGTTTCCACAGGAGCTATAAGTACTTTAATGACATTTTTAGGTAGTAATCACTCTCTACAATGTTTTTATTGATGGAAACTATTAGCAGCTGCTGTTATAACCACCATTAGCCGATGACCAATTTAAAAACTGGCACATACAATACCTTGGAACAAAAACAAGCGCCACCTCGATTACAATCATAAAACCTTCACCCGTCCTAGGGGGCGGGTGCTCAACGAGATGTCCAACGAGCTATAGTTATTACCACGATTGGGAGTAAGAGGGGTGGCTAGCGGTGGCTTAGGGGCAGCTGGGTAACTGGCCCACTTGCTGACACTGCAGTGTGCACTTGGCTAGAACCACCACTGTTTGAGTTGAAAAAAAAAAATGGTCATTTCAATTGAATTGAATTGCGAACTGCAGCTGGGACATACATATTGACAGCAGGAGGGTATCAAATATCAACTATATCGGTTGTTAAGGTTGTTAAGGGCGTTTTCCGGTGCGTCCATAACAAAGGAAGCTATAGAGTTTTCCAATCGACTTATGAAGGAATTGGGGAATTGAATTCTTTGGGGGGTAAATGTGTGATTTTGTGAGTCATTATAGCACGAGGTCCATGCTCCTCGTCCATATTACTCATCATATATATAAGAAGTGTATGTACCACCCCGACTATTGAAGATCAATACACGCTTTTGGAAGAAATTCCATGCGAAAGCGAGACGGCGAGACGGAAATGCCAGCCCCCAAGAGCGGAGCAGAAGAAGCTCCAACACCCAAAAGCAACGGAACTGGCAGAACAAAAAAAAAGAAGTGCTTAATGTTTTTTTTTTCTCTTTTATTTTATTTTTTTTTTGCAAATCTGCAATTTCGATAAACCCACACACACACACACACAGAGCACACAACGATCGCACGCACACATGCACACAACACATTTAAAAATGCCGGCAAGGGACTCCTCCTCCTTCGGGGGCACTTACTTGCTGCTGGCCTTGTTGTCAGTAAAATCCAAGTTGGAGATCATCTTGCTTCTTTAGTTTTGGTGGCGGTTTAGCCTTGAATCGACAATTGCGATAATTAGTGAAATCGGTACACACGCGTAACGTGAAACACTCAAAAATGCAGGTAAAAATGCACGCACAAACGGAGACAAAACGGAGAGATCCAGGTGGCGCGGCTGTTGGAGTAGATTTGAATTCGTATTACAAATATAAATATATATATATATGGTTTGGTGTGACCATGCTAACAAGTTCTCAAGAAATATCGATAGGTTGGCAGCACCGTTTTTACGATAGTTGCCGGGTAAATATATCGAATCTTTTCCAAAACTCATTTTATAATTAATTTTCTAAAAAATAATCCTATTTGAAAAAATATTTTTAAAAAAATATAAAAAATTACCACGCATATATTTTTAAAGACTTCATTTAACTTCAAGCTAAATTATTAAACTCTTTATTTGCGGATTATGGGAACGTTGCCACTGGTCACACTTGATAACAATATTCTATTTGTTTACATTCGGAGGAGGATCCTTAAATACAGAATTGAAGGCTATTTTCGCCAGGATGAATGCACCCATGGTGCTGGTACAGTGCCGGGTCTGCCTGGGGGAGTGTGAGGATAATGTGATGAGATCTTTGTTTGAGGAAGAAGATCCACTCATCGAGCAGGTGGAGAACTGTTGTGGCATCAAGGTAGGCCTTGGAACAGCGCAGAAACTCCAGACAATTAACTGTTTTTGGATCTTGCAGATTCGCCAGTCTGACAATCTTCCTGCCAAGGTCTGTTTCAGCTGCTGCGAGTTCGTCCGTATGTGGCAGAACTTTCGCCAGATGTGCCTCAACTCGCAGGTTTTCTGGGAGACGAGTTGTCCGGTGGAGGAGCGGCCCGAGGAAATGCAGCAAGTCAGCGATGCTGAATACATGGAGTACCTGTACGATAATCTCAAACTCATTGTGGCGGCGGAGAACGACTTTAAGGTAGAGAACCTTCTGAACGAGGGGGTGGACGTTATCTTGGAGGAATCTTCGCCGCCACCGGATGAGATTGATGTCAACGATCTAATAGTGGACGCGGATACAAATGAGAATGCATCACCTGCCGAAATCCTTGATGCTCCTCTGGATGCTTATGAAAATGATGCAGAGGTGTGCGAGGATGTAGAGTTTGAAAGCCAGACCGCCGATGATTCTTCCCTTATAACGGATGCCTACTTCGAGGTGGACTTCGAGGAAGAGGAACTAAAAGATGATGATGACTTCCTATCATCCACACCGTCGCCGGATCCAAAGAGCAGCTCAAGTGTAAAACGAAAGGCTGGCAGGCCCCGCAAACCAGACACTGAACTGAAACACAAACGAAAGGACCCAAAGTCGAAGCTCAAAGCGAGTTCTCAGAGCCAAAGCGATGACCAGCCTTCAAAGTTTATGTGTAATCTATGCGGCAATATCTATTCAAAGAAGTCATCTTTCACGGCCCATATGACGGCCCACACGAACTACAAGCCCCACCAGTGCGAGTATGTGATAATATAATTATTTAATTTTTAAAGGTTAAATTTTTTTATTTCCTTTCAGAATCTGCCTCAAATCCTTTCGACAGATGGGTGAGTTGCGGGCCCACATACGTCGGCATACTGGCGAGCGTCCCTACAAGTGCATGTACTGCGAACGTTACTTCTATGACCGAAGCGAAAGGGTTCGCCACGAGCGTGTGCATACCAACACACGACCCTACGCTTGTCAGGAGTGTGGCAAAAGCTTTACGCACACGGCCATTCTTAAGAACCACATCCTGGTCCACTCGGGCGAGAAAAACTATAAGTAATACAATATAGAAACACTCTATTTCACAATCTAATATTCTGTTTTTTTAAGCTGTGCCATTTGTTCGAAATCATTCACCCTGATGCATCAATTGAAGGCCCATCTGCAGACACTCACTCACAAAAGCAAAGAGGAAGAGACTCTGGCCAACGCCTCAGATGTAATACAAAGCTAATTATTTAAAATACTTCCTAAGCTAGGCTTGTGTACTTTAAGCTAGATAAAACAGAGAAAAAGACAATTAATGTAATTATTAATAAAATTTATACTATTGTATTTGTTAGCTTGTTGCTAATATATCATATTCCTCTTGGGGTATTGATATGGCCACTTCCCCTCGGTTCACATGTGTCTTCTCGTGTGCCTTAAGCTGGTGTCGCAGGCGGAATCCTTTGCTACAGATGGCGCATTTATGCGGCTTTTCAGAAGAGTGTGAGAAATAGTGAGCCTTCAGCGAGGTGGAGAGAGAGAAAGCCTTTCCGCAAATACCGCATAGGTATGGACGTTCATTGGTGTGCATTCTAAAAAGATATATCAGGTATTCTAAATCTGGAATTAGCTCTTACGGGAACAACCTACCTCTCGTGTTTGCGATGTGTGCTGCGATCAGCGAATCGTCGCTTACAGAAATCACATTCGAAGGGCTTCTCGCCAGTGTGCGTTCGTACATGGGTAGTAAGATTGCAGGCGGCATTAAATTTCTTGCCACAAAATCTAAAATAACGATGTTCTCAATGAAATCAACGGGTCAACTTTCTTCTATTTTTTAATACCTACTCGCACTCAAAAGACTTTTCGCCTCGATGCGACCGAAGGTGGGAATTGAGTTGAGATGCATTGGGATACGAGTTGCTGCAGATGCGACATATGTGCCTTTGCGGCGCACAGGCGATCCCTAGGTCTATATTATATTCAATGGCTGAATCAGACTTTGGCGTGCCGATATCTCCATCACTGGCTTCCTGTGCATCGGTTCCACTGTCTATGGTTATGACCATGGTGCTTGTCTGCGAAGAAGTCTCCAAGTCATTTCCCTCCTCTACCAAGTTACTGACGGCGAACTCTTCCTCCATATTGGGTTTTTGGTCTTCCAAGTTATCGTTAATGGAAAATAGGTACTTCTCCGAAACGTCCTCTTCTAATTCTATATGAGATGTATCTATAAGCGTACTTTTCACGCATTTTTCGGTAGGTTCGATGGGTTTAGTTTTTAAAGGCAGTTTTCCGATGAATCTCTCTTCCATGGTTTGCTTCCTAGCACGTTTTCTCTGACTAGTAACCGGCTCTTTGGGCTGAAAAGTGGCAGCGGATAACATGGTCTTGTGTACAAGATTTCTGAGGTGATCTTCTGAACTTTTACATTCACTGATAAACTGCTGCATTCCCTCCAATTTCTCTAAGCAGGCAGTGCATATCTGGTCCGGCAAACCATCATTTTCTTCTATCTGGACGAGAAAATACAATTTTTAACAATATACAAGTTTTTTTTTGAAAATACATACAGATATTCCCACATACTCGTTTAAATGCTTCGCGGCATCAGACTCAAATATGGACACTAAAGTAGAGCCCTTGTCAGATGTGCATGTTCGACACATGCTCCACTTGATACTTATTTCCATTTTGGATGTTTCAAGGCTCCAACTCTTAGTTTTTCTTTAGTTTTTAGTTAATTTCAGATTCAAATACCTAGCAATGGCTTTATAAACATGTTAGAGCTGGGACATCAATGGTAAACAAAGATGTCGATAGTCCACCACTAAGCAATTAACTCATGTTGAAATATTAAATATTAATTGGGCCATCTTTTCCAAAATAATGATGAAAAAAGGGTGCTGAAATGGTTTTTGGAATGGCATTAACTTAATTAATGTTTAATGGATAATTAAATCCGTTCTGATAATTACTGAGATAATCATCATGTCATCGATAGATGCGTGGGAGTGGGATCAATCGATAGTGCAGTCGATAGTTGTGCAACGCCTTATCATCTGACAACCCTAGGAAAAGTTGTGCTAAAGACGCTTGTTTATTTTACTAATTTACGAGGACGAGCGATACCATGCCCGAGTACATGCTGTGCAGAATCTGTCTGGCAGAGGACAACTCGGATGCCATGACTCCACTTTTCGAAGAGGACGACCAGTGCCGGGAGCTGGTGCGGAAGATCGAGGAAGTAGGCAGCATCAAGGTAAGTGGAGGACACCTGTAAGTTATTTTGATATAATCCATTACTTCTTTTCTAGCTGGTGCCGCTGCAGGACATACCCAGCATGTTGTGCTACAGCTGTGTTGACAGGCTGACCAACGCCCACAAGTTCCGGGAACTGTGCCGCGAGAGCGAGCGGACGTTCTCCACCAATGTGGTCAAGGTAACGCACCTTGCTAAAATAATATGTCCTTGAAATATAAGTACAAATATCCTTTAAATATTCATACAGGCCGAGATGAAATCTGAACCCACAGACGACGCCGCGCATATTGTGACTGACCATATTGAGTACATCTACGAGGCCAGTAACGAATACATTGACCATGAAGAAGAGGAGGACGAGGAGGAAGAGGAAGAAGAAGAAGAGGACATAGAGATGGGGGCTATGCTGGAAGAACGTCTTGAAGAAGGCATTGCGGAAGCTGAACATCCATACGACCTAGATAACGTCGTTGATGAGATGGACGTAAAGGACCTGATTGGCCCCGCTGGCAGCGACAGCGACTACGATCCTAGTGAACGAAAGCCCAAGCTGCGCAAATCAAGATTAAGCAAGAGGGGACGTGGTAGACCCCGAACTTCCCATCGCCCCCAAAGCACAGATATGGTGTCAGTTCAACTAAACTTCAAGTCCGAAGAGTCCCCCACAAACATCATGTGTGAGATATGTGGAAACATTTACTCCAAAAGAGCTGCCTTAAATATTCATATGCGCCGACACATGGCAGAAAAGCCATTTGAATGCGAGTGAGTATCCAAAGATTAAATAATGTTTCATTTTAAAAAACGAATATCTCCCACCAGAATATGCAGCAAAACCTTCGCGGGTCCCTCCGAGTTGAATCGTCATATCCGCGTGCACACGGGGGAAAAGCCCTTCACCTGCAAATATTGTTCCCGCAGTTTTGCGGACCGTAGCTCTAACATACGTCATGAAAGGTTTGAAAAGAAAACTACATAATTGAATCAATTTAAAACATATATGTATATCCTACAGGACTCACACGAACGAGCGACCATTTACCTGTTCCACCTGCGGCAAGTCCTTTTCTTACTCTAATGTTTTGAAGAACCACATGCTGACACACACCGGCGAGAAGCCTTTTCTGTAAGTTTTTCTTATAAAATATGGTATTTTATTTTCAATATTTGGATTAATTTCAGATGCCGTCCGTGCAATAAAACATTCTCACGTAAACACCAACTAGAACAACACATCGGTACGATGACACACCAACAAACAGTGAGATCCCACCAGAAATCTGAACCCATGCAGCACCCAGATATTTACTAGTCCCCTTGCAATCTATGTATAACATTATTATAAATAGCTAATGTAAATAAAAGAGTACAAACGTTCTTTACTGGATTTGTAAAAAAAATATTAAAAATATATAACAAATGCTTTATTTTAATTTTAAATTAGTTTAAATTTAACATTTAGAACTTTTTCTAAATATTCACTAGAATACTGATTTTACATCACGGTGGTTCGTTTAATCACATATGGAATCCGTATCTGCCAGGAGAAGCCTATCTAAATGAACGCCTGTGTTCAAATGTTGCTTCAGAAGACCCGCTCGCAAAAAACTTTTGTCACAAATTTCACAACTGAAAACATCCTGTTAGGGGTTTGGAGGCTTATAATAAAAATAATACTCACTAGTGTTGCCTGATCTGGTTAGAAGAATGTGTCATTCTATGCTTGTTAAGACAGCCCGAGCTAACGAAGCTTTTTTCGCAAACATCGCACTGGTAGTAACGCTCGTTTCGATGTCGTCGATGATGCTGTTCTCGGGCGCCCACATCAGAGAAGCGACGGGGGCAGTAATTGCAGGGATAAGGCTGCTCACCAGTGTGACGACGGATATGGCGGGTAAGCTCCTTTCGGGTTGCAAAGGACTTACCGCAGCCGCTAAGAAGATCAAATGGTTGTGGTTAAACCAAACTTGTAATAAAGGCACGGAAATTACCTAAACTGGCACTTGAAGTCCTTGATGCCCGTATGCCTGAGCCTATGCTCCTGAAAGTTGGTCCAGTGATTAATCGATTTTCCGCATTGATCACATGTATAAGGACCAGCCCTGGAAACTGGTATTGGAACTTTAAAGGAAGCGTCCGCCTGGGCTTCCTCGGAATTGCAAGACTCCGTGTCGATATCCGAGCTTAAAACTGTATCACATTCATTTTGGGGCTCATCTGATTCCGAGAAATACAGGTTTTTTCGGAATTCGTTTGACTCTTTTAGCGGGGGGTCATCATTGTCAGATTCCGAGGAGTTTAGTCGGCTCAAGTGTTGCTTCTCGGAAATAATGCAGCGTTGGCGGAACTTGATGGCGCCCTCCAAATCACCCACGCACACCTGGCACATGTGGCTGGGCAGCTCGTTTCTATCGCTCAACTAAACGTATAATTATATATTTAAAATGTATATATAGTTTATATGCAAATCTGGAAATCAAAGGGCATTTACCTGGACTCCAGTAATGGAATGAATTTGTCTGTGAAGATGCCGGTTTTTTGGTAGGAAAATGTTTGTTGTGGCCCCCTGTTTGGAACAAATACGGCACATCATATTCGGCATCTTAGGGCTAATATATTTTTGTTTTAAAACAAATGTATTGTTTAAGCTCCACGTATATTGGCGCACTGCCTCTTATTGTTTTGTTGAGTTGGTCACACTACTGTACAGGGATGTAGTCGTAAAATCGCAAAAGGGATTTTAAAACTTTAAAATATATTTTTCCTAATAAATTAATTTTAATCCACTTTTTTAATAGACAGTTCATTAAAACGAATTAATAGATTCAAATAAATAAAGATTTTCGAAAAACTAGCACACCTGTTTAAGAGCATGTTTATTTATCGATAGCCGATAACACAACTCAGCTGATTCTGATTTGTATAGATGGTGCCAAACAATAAAGTTTAACTTAAATAAAACTTAGATTATTAAATATTTAAATCAAATTAGAGCTCGAAGATGACGCTTCAGTGTCGAACCTGCGGCACTGTTATTTACAATACAAAGGCCAAGAATCTATTCAACGTTGAGAACGCCAATCTGTTGCTGAACATCGAACTTGTTTCGGGCATTCCGGTGAGTTGGCTCTTAAATGGTTTTCTCCAGGGTAAGACTAATGATTGTCTCTTTTAAGCTCGAAAATGATCCCGACTTGCCGAGTTGCATATGCGCCTGCTGCATTTTAGAATTAAACCAGGCGGTGGCCTTCAGGGAACGTTGTATTCAAACGCAGAAAGGCTTTCAGCAGCAAAAAATCGCATCCTCGGGTGAGAACTCAGAGGAGGATGACGAATATGCCTTAGAAGTAATGGATGAGTTAAACGAGGATGACCAAGCACCAATTATAAAAGCCGAAGTACTAGACGATTCCTTTGATGAGGAGGAGGATGAATTTTTCGAAATGCTCCCTAGTTCAGAAATTCCAGACGACGATGTAGCATCGGAAGATGCAGATACTCTGATCTCAAGTGTCCAAAGGGAAATGGGAAGTATATGCGAAGGAAGCGATGACTTTAAGGGGTTCACTAGCGATACGGATGAAATCTACGACATTGAAGATGGCAACGATACAGATTATACAGATAACTCCTTATCGAAAAATGTACCTCCCGTTGTGGAACGTAGACCTCGTGGGCGTCCAAAGCGCGGCACCGCGAAACCGAAATCCAGCAACGACGAGGAGCCCAAGCATAAGAAGCAGTATGTGACCTGGAAAAATTTGACGGAGGAGGAGATTGTTGAGCGAAAGAGGCAGCAGCGACGTCGCGATTGTGTCTGCGAGCAGTGCGGTCGGAAGTTTACGGATCAGAGCAACTTCAAGTTGCACATGCTCCGTCACACGGGCATCAAGAATTTTGCATGTAAAGAGTGCGGAAAGACGTTCTACACTGATCATTTGCTGTCCCTGCATCAACGGATCGTGCACCAGGGTGAAAAGCCCTACTCCTGCCGGTACTGTCCTAAATCCTTTCACAACAGCACCACCCGCGTTATCCACGAAAGGTAAGATTTTAGACTTTTGGGGAAAGACTTTTATTTCAAACATAACTTTATCCAAAAATTTAACTTTTTAGAATTCATACAAACGCCCGACCCTATCAGTGTAAACATTGCGAGAAATCCTTCAGCTCGGCATCTGGACGAAAACGGCACGAACTTATACACACTGGTGTGAGAGCTTTTTCGTGAGTATTATTATCTATCTTTTGTTACTATCTTATAAATTAATTAACTATCATTTTAGCTGCGAAATCTGTGACCACACGTTCCAGCGCAAAACTCATCTAAAAGCCCACTTGCGATCCAAAATGCACTTATTAAGAATGGAATCTTCTAACGATTTGCCCTTAGAGCTCGAATAAATAGGTTAATCTATAAGATTTATTTATTATTAGTTTCTGTTGAGCAAATGTAAAGGAGTATTTTTGTGGAATCGTATTGTGAAATACTGCAGAGTACTTAACTATTCCCACAGAAGAAAGTTTTTTGTATTTTATAAATACACTTTTAGCTAGATAACCCCTCAACAATAGTATTTTTTTTTAACTTGTCTTTTACAAACTTAAAAACTTTTACAAATCCTGTTCTACAAATTCTGTTAAATAAGTTTGGTAATCAGTATGGTTGTATCAAATGAAAGAATTCAATCATATATTATAGTATAAAAAAATAACTAATAGTTGCTAACTTAAAAGTATTTAAACTAGGATAATATACTAGTCAATACTAGGAATTTGTGTGTTGGTGGAAACCAAATATTCACATCAGTCTGGGCAACTTAAAATTAATGAGAATGTTCGTTTTTGGTAAGATATGGCTGCTTAGTCGACCTCCTCGACTGTGGGTCCCGAGTATCCCCCAAATCCTCCAGCCTGCTGTCCACAACCGGCTCCAGGAGCACCGGCCGCTCCTGCGGATGGCTGGTGCATCTTGGTCATGATGGGAGAGCAGTGGCGGGTGAGCTCCTCGAGCTTGTGGTCGAACTCCTCCTTCTCGGCGGTGGTGTTGGTGTCCAACCAGCGAATGGCCTCGTTGCACTTATCAAGCACCGAGGACTTGTCGGCCTCGCTGAGCTTGTCGGAGCCGGCCTGCTCCACAGCCTGCTTCACGTTGAAGACATAGCTCTCCAGGCTGTTGCGGGAGGAGATGCGCTGTCGCTGCTTCTCGTCCTCGTCGGCGTACCTCTCCGCCTCGTTCACCATCCGGTCGATCTCGGCCTGCGAAAGGCGTCCCTTGTCGTTCTTGATGGTGATGTTCTTGGCCTTGCCCGTGCTCATCTCCTTGGCGGTGACGTTCAGAATGCCGTTGGCGTCCATATCGAAGGTGACCTCGATCTGGGGCACTCCTCTGGGAGCAGGCGGAATGCCGGATAGGTCGAAGGTGCCCAGAGCATTGTTGTCCTTGGTCATGGCGCGCTCGCCCTCGTACACCTGGATAGAGACTCCAGGCTGGTTGTCGGCGTAGGTCGAGAAGGTCTTGGTCTGCTTGCACGGGATGCGGCAGTTGCGCTCAATGAGCTTTGTCGCGACGCCGCCGGCGGTCTCGATTCCTAGCGAGAGTGGTGCCACGTCCACCAGCAGCACGTCCTGGATCTTGCCGGTCTGGTCGCCACTGAGAATCGCAGCCTGGACAGCTGCTCCGTAGGCCACAGCCTCGTCAGGGTTTATGGAGAGGTTCAGGCTCTTGCCGTGGAAGAACTGCTGAAGCAGGCTCTGCACCTTGGGAATGCGGGTGGAGCCTCCCACGAGGACAATGTCGTGAATCTGGCCCTTGTCCATCTTGGCGTCGGTCAGGGCCTTCTCCACGGGCTGCAGGGTGTTGCGGAAGAGGTCCGCACAAAGCTCCTCAAAGCGGGCACGGCTCACCTTGGTGTAGAAGTCGTGGCCCTCGAACAGCGCGTCGATCTCGATGGTGGCCTCTGTGCTGGAGGAAAGTGTGCGCTTGGCCCGCTCGGCTGCCGTGCGGAGGCGTCTCAAGGCGCGGGGATTGGAACGCAGATCCTTCTTGAACTTCCTCTTGAACTCCTCCGCCAGGTGGGTGACCAGCCTGTTGTCAAAGTCCTCGCCGCCCAGGTGGGTGTCTCCGGCAGTGGCCCGCACCTCGAACAGGGATCCCTCGTCGATAGTCAGGATGGAGACATCGAAGGTACCGCCTCCCAAGTCGAAGATAAGCACGTTGCGCTCTCCCTTCAGGTTCTTATCCAGTCCGTAGGCCAAGGCGGCGGCAGTGGGCTCGTTGATGATGCGGAGCACATTAAGCCCGGCGATGCGGCCGGCGTCCTTGGTGGCCTGGCGCTGGGAATCGTTGAAGTAGGCGGGAACCGTGATCACCGCGTCGCTGATGGTCTCGCCGAGGTACGCCTCGGCAGTCTCCTTCATCTTGACCAGCACCATGGAGCTGATCTCTTCGGGGGCGAACCGCTTTGACTCACCCTTGAACTCCACCCCGATCTTTGGCTTTCCCCCATCGCTGACCACCTTGAAGGGCCAGTGCTTGATGTCCTCCACGATCTTGGGGTCGTCGTACTTGCGCCCGATCAGGCGCTTGGCGTCGAAGACTGTGTTCCGGGGGTTCATCGCCACCTGGTTCTTGGCGGCGTCTCCGATAAGGCGCTCGGAATCTGTAAAGGCGACGTAGCTTGGCGTGGTCCGGTTGCCCTGGTCGTTGGCGATGATCTCCACCTTGCCGTGCTGGTAGACTCCCACGCAGGAGTACGTGGTGCCCAGATCGATTCCAATGGCAGGCATTTTGTTGCTGTTTCTGTGGCTTACTTGCTTCTTTGGAGAATGTAAAAGTACTAACGGTGTACTGGTTATGGAGATTCCTCCTGTGTTGCAATTTCAAACTTCTTTTTCAACTTCTTGCTTTCTAGATACTCTTGAGATACTTGGTTGAATCAGTTTTCAAGATACTTTTCACTTCTTTTCAGTTGGCTTGTTCAGCTCAGTTGCTTTGCTTGGTTTGGTTTGGTTGCTTCGCTTTCGCGATGTGTTCAGTTTGCTTGTTTGAATTGAATTGAATGCGAAGAGAAACGGACGGCTATTTATACCCCAGCTGTCTCTTCGCGAACTTTCTTACTCTCTTCCCGAAGGTTCGAGAACTGCTCTCTCGGCGCTTCGAGAGGTCTGGGTAGCTATACCCGACGATTATGGTAGCATTTTAAGAGAGGGTGGTGGGTTAATGCAGCTATAGAAGTTTCTCGATTTTTCCCCGCCAAACATTTAAACCTACGACAACAAAAGATATTTCTAGAAATCGGAAAATCAAATTTTCCTTTTGTTTTCAGCGTTTTCTAGATCGATTCTCTGTCAATGTGCATCATAATTCAAAACAGCACTTGGGCATGTACCTGAACCCTTCGCAGTGCCAGAAAGTGCCATCCATCCATTTTTCCAATTTTTGAAGGGGACACCCCAGAAAATTTGATAAAAAATCTAAAAAAAAATATGTTGTTAGATTTTGATGCAAATTGATAACAAATCGATCCAGAAACAGTTTAAGACATCCCGCTCAAGAATCGGATGGGTATTGGCGAAGATATAGCCTTCGCAGTGCGAGAAAGTGCCATCAACCCATTTTTTCCAAATTTTGAAGGGGACACCCCAGAAAATTTGAGAAAAAATCTAAAAAAAAATATGTTGTTAGATTTTGATGCAAATTGATAACAAATCGATCCAGAAAACGTTTAAGACATCCCGCTCAAGAATCGGATGGGTATTGGCGAAGATATAGCCTTCGCAGTGCGAGAAAGTGCCATCAACCCATTTTTTCCAAATTTTGAAGGGGACACCCCAGAAAATTTGAGAAAAAATCTAAAAAAAAATATGTTGTTAGATTTTGATGCAAATTGATAACAAATCGATCCAGAAACAGTTTAAGACATCCCGCTCAAGAATCGGATGGGTATTGGCGAAGATATAGCCTTCGCAGTGCGAGAAAGTGCCATCAACCCATTTTTTCCAAATTTTGAAGGGGACACCCCAGAAAATTTGAGAAAAAATCTAAAAAAAAATATGTTGTTAGATTTTGATGCAAATTGATAACAAATCGATCCAGAAACCGTTTAAGACATCCCGCTCAAGAATCGGATGGGTATTGGCGAAGATATAGCCTTCGCAGTGCCATCAACCCATTTTTTCCAAATTTTGAAGGGGACACCCCAGAAAATTTGAGAAAAAATCTAAAAAAAAATATGTTGTTAGATTTTGATGCAAATTGATGGCAAATCGATCTAGAAACCGTTTAAGACATCCCGCTCAAGAATCGGATGGGTATTGGCGAAGATATAGCCTTCGCAGTGCGAGAAAGTGCCATCAACCCATTTTTTCCAAATTTTGAAGGGGACACCCCAGAAAATTTGAGAAAAAATCTAAAAAAAAATATGTTGTTAGATTTTGATGCAAATTGATAACAAATCGATCCAGAAACCGTTTAAGACATCCCGCTCAAGAATCGGATGGGTATTGATAAGATATGCGAAGATATAGCCTTCGCAGTGGCAGAAAGTGCCATCCACCCATTTTTTCCAAATTTTGAAGGGGACACCCCAGAAAATTTGAGAAAAAATCTAAAAAAAAATATGTTGTTAGATTTTGATGCAAATTGATGGCAAATCGATCTAGAAACCGTTTAAGACATCCCGCTCAAGAATCGGATGGGTATTGGCGAAGATATAGCCTTCGCAGTGCGAGAAAGTGCCATCCACCCATTTTTTCCAATTTTTGAAGGGGACACCCCAGAAAATTTGAGAAAAAATCTAAAAAAAAATATGTTGTTAGATTTTGATGCAAATTGATAGCAAATCGATCTAGAAACCGTTTAAGACATCCCGCTCAAGAATCGGATGGGTATTGGCGAAGATATATCCTTCGCAGTGGCAGAAAGTGCCATCCACCCATTGTTTCCAATTTTTGAAGGGGACACACCAGAAAATTTGAGAAAAAATCTAAAAAAAAATATGTTGTTAGATTTTGATGCAAATCGATGGCAAATTGATCTAGAAACCGTTTAAGACATCCCGCTCAAGAATCGGATGGGTATTGGCGAAGATATAGCCTTCGCAGTGCGAGAAAGTGCCATCCACCCATTTTTTCCAAATTTTGAAGGGGACACCCCAGAAAATTTGAGAAAAAATCTAAAAAAAAATATGTTGTTAGATTTTGATGCAAATTGATGGCAAATCGATCTAGAAACCGTTTAAGACATCCCGCTCAAGAATCGGATGGGTATTGGCGAAGATATAGCCTTCGCAGTGGCAGAAAGTGCCATCCACCCATTGTTTCCAATTTTTGAAGGGGACACACCAGAAAATTTGAGAAAAAATCTAAAAAAAAATATGTTGTTAGATTTTGATGCAAATCGATGGCAAATTGATCTAGAAACCGTTTAAGACATCCCGCTCAAGAATCGGATGGGTATTGGCGAAGATATAGCCTTCGCAGTGCGAGAAAGTGCCATCAACCCATTTTTTCCAAATTTTGAAGGGGACACCCCAGAAAATTTGAGAAAAAATCTAAAAAAAAATATGTTGTTAGATTTTGATGCAAATTGATGGCAAATCGATCTAGAAACCGTTTAAGACATCCCGCTCAAGAATCGGATGGGTATTGGCGAAGATATAGCCTTCGCAGTGGCAGAAAGTGCCATCCACCCATTTTTTCCAAATTTTGAAGGGGACACCCCAGAAAATTTGAGAAAAAATCTAAAAAAAAATATGTTGTTAGATTTGGATGCAAATTGATGGCAAATCGATCTAGAAACTGTTTAAGACATCCGGTCAAGAATCGGATGGGTATTGGGGAAGATATACAATTCGCAGAGGCCCATAATACCCAAAAGAAAACTTATAAAATTAAGAAAAAAAGATTTAAGGTTTATTTTTTAACATCAAATAAATAATTTATTTTTCATTTTTCTAGTTCATAGTATAACAATTTGTTGCTAACTTAAAATTATCTAAACTAGGATAATATACTAGTCAATACTAGGAATTTGTGTGTTGGTGGAAACCAAATATTCACATCAGTCTGGGCAACTTAAAATTAATGAGAATGTTCGTTTTTGGTAAGATATGGCTGCTTAGTCGACCTCCTCGACTGTGGGTCCCGAGTATCCCCCAAATCCTCCAGCCTGCTGTCCACAACCGGCTCCAGGAGCACCGGCCGCTCCTGCGGATGGCTGGTGCATCTTGGTCATGATGGGAGAGCAGTGGCGGGTGAGCTCCTCGAGCTTGTGGTCGAACTCCTCCTTCTCGGCGGTGGTGTTGGTGTCCAACCAGCGAATGGCCTCGTTGCACTTATCAAGCACCGAGGACTTGTCGGCCTCGCTGAGCTTGTCGGAGCCGGCCTGCTCCACAGCCTGCTTCACGTTGAAGACATAGCTCTCCAGGCTGTTGCGGGAGGAGATGCGCTGGCGCTGCTTCTCGTCCTCGTCGGCGTACCTCTCCGCCTCGTTCACCATGCGGTCGATCTCGGCCTGCGAAAGGCGTCCCTTGTCGTTCTTGATGGTGATGTTCTTGGCCTTGCCCGTGCTCATCTCCTTGGCGGTGACGTTCAGAATGCCGTTGGCGTCCATATCGAAGGTGACCTCGATCTGGGGCACTCCTCTGGGAGCAGGCGGAATGCCGGATAGGTCGAAGGTGCCCAGAGCATTGTTGTCCTTGGTCATGGCGCGCTCTCCCTCGTACACCTGGATAGAGACTCCAGGCTGGTTGTCGGCGTAGGTCGAGAAGGTCTTGGTCTGCTTGCACGGGATGCGGCAGTTGCGCTCAATGAGCTTTGTCATGACGCCGCCGGCGGTCTCGATTCCTAGCGAGAGTGGTGCCACGTCCACCAGCAGCACGTCCTGGATCTTGCCGGTCTGGTCGCCACTGAGAATCGCAGCCTGGACAGCTGCTCCGTAGGCCACAGCCTCGTCAGGGTTTATGGAGAGGTTCAGGCTCTTGCCGTGGAAGAACTGCTGAAGCAGGCTCTGCACCTTGGGAATGCGGGTGGAGCCTCCCACGAGGACAATGTCGTGAATCTGGCCCTTGTCCATCTTGGCGTCGGTCAGGGCCTTCTCCACGGGCTGCAGGGTGTTGCGGAAGAGGTCCGCACAAAGCTCCTCAAAGCGGGCACGGCTCACCTTGGTGTAGAAGTCGTGGCCCTCGAACAGCGCGTCGATCTCGATGGTGGCCTCTGTGCTGGAGGAAAGTGTGCGCTTGGCCCGCTCGGCTGCCGTGCGGAGGCGTCTCAAGGCGCGGGGATTGGAACGCAGATCCTTCTTGAACTTCCTCTTGAACTCCTCCGCCAGGTGGGTGACCAGCCTGTTGTCAAAGTCCTCGCCGCCCAGGTGGGTGTCTCCGGCAGTGGCCCGCACCTCGAACAGGGATCCCTCGTCGATAGTCAGGATGGAGACATCGAAGGTACCGCCTCCCAAGTCGAAGATAAGCACGTTGCGCTCTCCCTTCAGGTTCTTATCCAGTCCGTAGGCCAAGGCGGCGGCAGTGGGCTCGTTGATGATGCGGAGCACATTAAGCCCGGCGATGCGGCCGGCGTCCTTGGTGGCCTGGCGCTGGGAATCGTTGAAGTAGGCGGGAACCGTGATCACCGCGTCGCTGATGGTCTCGCCGAGGTACGCCTCGGCAGTCTCCTTCATCTTGACCAGCACCATGGAGCTGATCTCTTCGGGGGCAAACCGCTTTGACTCACCCTTGAACTCCACCCCGATCTTTGGCTTTCCCCCATCGCTGACCACCTTGAAGGGCCAGTGCTTGATGTCCTCCACGATCTTGGGGTCGTCGTACTTGCGCCCGATCAGGCGCTTGGCGTCGAAGACTGTGTTCCGGGGGTTCATCGCCACCTGGTTCTTGGCGGCGTCTCCGATAAGGCGCTCGGAATCTGTAAAGGCGACGTAGCTTGGCGTGGTCCGGTTGCCCTGGTCGTTGGCGATGATCTCCACCTTGCCGTGCTGGTAGACTCCCACGCAGGAGTACGTGGTGCCCAGATCGATTCCAATGGCAGGCATTTTGTTGCTGTTTCTGTGGCTTACTTGCTTCTTTGGAGAATGTAAAAGTACTAACGGTGTACTGGTTATGGAGATTCCTCCTGTGTTGCAATTTCAAACTTCTTTTTCAACTTCTTGCTTTCTAGATACTCTTGAGATACTTGGTTGAATCAGTTTTCAAGATACTTTTCACTTCTTTTCAGTTGGCTTGTTCAGCTCAGTTGCTTTGCTTGGTTTGGTTGCTTCGCTTTCGCGATGTGTTCAGTTTGCTTGTTTGAATTGAATTGAATGCGAAGAGAAACGGACGGCTATTTATACCCCAGCTGTCTCTTCGCGAACTTTCTTACTCTCTTCCCGAAGGTTCGAGAACTGCTCTCTCGGCGCTTCGAGAGGTCTGGGTAGCTATACCCGACGATTATGGTAGCATTTTAAGAGAGGGTGGTGGGTTAATGCAGCTATAGAAGTTTCTCGATTTTTCCCCGCCAAACATTTAAACCTACGACAACAAAAGATATTTCTAGAAATCGGAAAATCAAATTTTCCTTTTGTTTTCAGCGTTTTCTAGATCGATTCTCTGTCAATGTGCATCATAATTCAAAACAGCACTTGGGCATGTACCTGAACCCTTCGCAGTGCCAGAAAGTGCCATCCATCCATTTTTCCAATTTTTGAAGGGGACACCCCAGAAAATTTGATAAAAAATCTAAAAAAAAATATGTTGTTAGATTTTGATGCAAATTGATAACAAATCGATCCAGAAACAGTTTAAGACATCCCGCTCAAGAATCGGATGGGTATTGGCGAAGATATAGCCTTCGCAGTGCGAGAAAGTGCCATCAACCCATTTTTTCCAAATTTTGAAGGGGACACCCCAGAAAATTTGAGAAAAAATCTAAAAAAAAAATATGTTGTTAGATTTGGATGCAAATTGATGGCAAATCGATCTAGAAACTGTTTAAGACATCCGGTCAAGAATCGGATGGGTATTGGGGAAGATATACAATTCGCAGAGGCCCATAATACCCAAAAGAAAACTTATAAAATTAAGAAAAAAAGATTTAAGGTTTAGTTTTTAACATCAAATAAATAATTTATTTTTCATTTTTCTAGTTCATAGTATAACAATTTGTTGCTAACTTAAAATTATCTAAACTAGGATAATATACTAGTCAATACTAGGAATTTGTGTGTTGGTGGAAACCAAAATTCACATCAGTCTGGGCAACTTAAAATTAATGAGAATGTTCGTTTTTGGTAAGATATGGCTGCTTAGTCGACCTCCTCGACTGTGGGTCCCGAGTATCCCCCAAATCCTCCAGCCTGCTGTCCACAACCGGCTCCAGGAGCACCGGCCGCTCCTGCGGATGGCTGGTGCATCTTGGTCATGATGGGAGAGCAGTGGCGGGTGAGCTCCTCGAGCTTGTGGTCGAACTCCTCCTTCTCGGCGGTGGTGTTGGTGTCCAACCAGCGAATGGCCTCGTTGCACTTATCAAGCACCGAGGACTTGTCGGCCTCGCTGAGCTTGTCGGAGCCGGCCTGCTCCACAGCCTGCTTCACGTTGAAGACATAGCTCTCCAGGCTGTTGCGGGAGGAGATGCGCTGGCGCTGCTTCTCGTCCTCGTCGGCGTACCTCTCCGCCTCGTTCACCATGCGGTCGATCTCGGCCTGCGAAAGGCGTCCCTTGTCGTTCTTGATGGTGATGTTCTTGGCCTTGCCCGTGCTCATCTCCTTGGCGGTGACGTTCAGAATGCCGTTGGCGTCCATATCGAAGGTGACCTCGATCTGGGGCACTCCTCTGGGAGCAGGCGGAATGCCGGATAGGTCGAAGGTGCCCAGAGCATTGTTGTCCTTGGTCATGGCGCGCTCGCCCTCGTACACCTGGATAGAGACTCCAGGCTGGTTGTCGGCGTAGGTCGAGAAGGTCTTGGTCTGCTTGCACGGGATGCGGCAGTTGCGCTCAATGAGCTTTGTCGTGACGCCGCCGGCGGTCTCGATTCCTAGCGAGAGTGGTGCCACGTCCACCAGCAGCACGTCCTGGATCTTGCCGGTCTGGTCGCCACTGAGAATCGCAGCCTGGACAGCTGCTCCGTAGGCCACAGCCTCGTCAGGGTTTATGGAGAGGTTCAGGCTCTTGCCGTGGAAGAACTGCTGAAGCAGGCTCTGCACCTTGGGAATGCGGGTGGAGCCTCCCACGAGGACAATGTCGTGAATCTGGCCCTTGTCCATCTTGGCGTCGGTCAGGGCCTTCTCCACGGGCTGCAGGGTGTTGCGGAAGAGGTCCGCACAAAGCTCCTCAAAGCGGGCACGGCTCACCTTGGTGTAGAAGTCGTGGCCCTCGAACAGCGCGTCGATCTCGATGGTGGCCTCTGTGCTGGAGGAAAGTGTGCGCTTGGCCCGCTCGGCTGCCGTGCGGAGGCGTCTCAAGGCGCGGGGATTGGAACGCAGATCCTTCTTGAACTTCCTCTTGAACTCCTCCGCCAGGTGGGTGACCAGCCTGTTGTCAAAGTCCTCGCCGCCCAGGTGGGTGTCTCCGGCAGTGGCCCGCACCTCGAACAGGGATCCCTCGTCGATAGTCAGGATGGAGACATCGAAGGTACCGCCTCCCAAGTCGAAGATAAGCACGTTGCGCTCTCCCTTCAGGTTCTTATCCAGTCCGTAGGCCAAGGCGGCGGCAGTGGGCTCGTTGATGATGCGGAGCACATTAAGCCCGGCGATGCGGCCGGCGTCCTTGGTGGCCTGGCGCTGGGAATCGTTGAAGTAGGCGGGAACCGTGATCACCGCGTCGCTGATGGTCTCGCCGAGGTACGCCTCGGCAGTCTCCTTCATCTTGACCAGCACCATGGAGCTGATCTCTTCGGGGGCAAACCGCTTTGACTCACCCTTGAACTCCACCCCGATCTTTGGCTTTCCCCCATCGCTGACCACCTTGAAGGGCCAGTGCTTGATGTCCTCCACGATCTTGGGGTCGTCGTACTTGCGCCCGATCAGGCGCTTGGCGTCGAAGACTGTGTTCCGGGGGTTCATCGCCACCTGGTTCTTGGCGGCGTCTCCGATAAGGCGCTCGGAATCTGTAAAGGCGACGTAGCTTGGCGTGGTCCGGTTGCCCTGGTCGTTGGCGATGATCTCCACCTTGCCGTGCTGGTAGACTCCCACGCAGGAGTACGTGGTGCCCAGATCGATTCCAATGGCAGGCATTTTGTTGCTGTTTCTGTGGCTTACTTGCTTCTTTGGAGAATGTAAAAGTACTAACGGTGTACTGGTTATGGAGATTCCTCCTGTGTTGCAATTTCAAACTTCTTTTTCAACTTCTTGCTTTCTAGATACTCTTGAGATACTTGGTTGAATCAGTTTTCAAGATACTTTTCACTTCTTTTCAGTTGGCTTGTTCAGCTCAGTTGCTTTGCTTGGTTTGGTTGCTTCGCTTTCGCGATGTGTTCAGTTTGCTTGTTTGAATTGAATTGAATGCGAAGAGAAACGGACGGCTATTTATACCCCAGCTGTCTCTTCGCGAACTTTCTTACTCTCTTCCCGAAGGTTCGAGAACTGCTCTCTCGGCGCTTCGAGAGGTCTGGGTAGCTATACCCGACGATTATGGTAGCATTTTAAGAGAGGGTGGTGGGTTAATGCAGCTATAGAAGTTTCTCGATTTTTCCCCGCCAAACATTTAAACCTACGACAACAAAAGATATTTCTAGAAATCGGAAAATCAAATTTTCCTTTTGTTTTCAGCGTTTTCTAGATCGATTCTCTGTCAATGTGCATCATAATTCAAAACAGCACTTGGGCATGTACCTGAACCCTTCGCAGTGCCAGAAAGTGCCATCCATCCATTTTTCCAATTTTTGAAGGGGACACCCCAGAAAATTTGAGAAAAAATCTAAAAAAAAATATGTTGTTAGATTTTGATGCAAATTGATAACAAATCGATCCAGAAACCGTTTAAGACATCCCGCTCAAGAATCGGATGGGTATTGGCGAAGATATAGCCTTCGCAGTGCGAGAAAGTGCCATCCACCTATTTTTTCCAATTTTTGAAGAGGACACCCCAGAAAATTTGAGAAAAAATCTAAAAAAAAAATATGTTGTTAGATTTTGATGCAAATTGATAACAAATCGATCCAGAAACCGTTTAAGACATCCCGCTCAAGAATCGGATGGGTATTGGCGAAGATATAGCCTTCGCAGTGCGAGAAAGTGCCATCAACCCATTTTTTCCAAATTTTGAAGGGGACACCCCAGAAAATTTGAGAAAAAATCTAAAAAAAAAAAGTTGTTAGATTTTGATGCAAATTGATGGCAAATCGATCTAGAAACCGTTTAAGACATCCCGCTCAAGAATCGGATGGGTATTGGCGAAGATATAGCCTTCGCAGTGCCATCAACCCATTTTTTCCAAATTTTGAAGGGGACACCCCAGAAAATTTGAGAAAAAATCTAAAAAAAAATATGTTGTTAGATTTTGATGCAAATTGATGGCAAATCGATCTAGAAACCGTTTAAGACATCCCGCTCAAGAATCGGATGGGTATTGGCGAAGATATAGCCTTCGCAGTGCGAGAAAGTGCCATCAACCCATTTTTTCCAAATTTTGAAGGGGACACCCCAGAAAATTTGAGAAAAAATCTAAAAAAAAATATGTTGTTAGATTTTGATGCAAATTGATAACAAATCGATCCAGAAACAGTTTAAGACATCCCGCTCAAGAATCGGATGGGTATTGGCGAAGATATAGCCTTCGCAGTGCGAGAAAGTGCCATCAACCCATTTTTTCCAAATTTTGAAGGGGACACCCCAGAAAATTTGAGAAAAAATCTAAAAAAAAAAAGTTGTTAGATTTTGATGCAAATTGATGGCAAATCGATCTAGAAACCGTTTAAGACATCCCGCTCAAGAATCGGATGGGTATTGGCGAAGATATAGCCTTCGGAGTGCCATCAACCCATTTTTTCCAAATTTTGAAGGGGACACCCCAGAAAATTTGAGAAAAAATCTAAAAAAAAATATGTTGTTAGATTTTGATGCAAATTGATGGCAAATCGATCTAGAAACTGTTTAAGACATCCGGTCAAGAATCGGATGGGTATTGGGGAAGATATACAATTCGCAGAGGCCCATAATACCCAAAAGAAAACTTATAAAATTAAGAAAAAAAGATTTAAGGTTTAGTTTTTAACATCAAATAAATAATTTATTTTTAATTTTTCTAGTTCATAGTATAACAATTTGTTGCTAACTTAAAATTATCTAAACTAGGATAATATACTAGTCAATACTAGGAATTTGTGTGTTGGTGGAAACCAAAATTCACATCAGTCTGGGCAACTTAAAATTAATGAGAATGTTCGTTTTTGGTAAGATATGGCTGCTTAGTCGACCTCCTCGACTGTGGGTCCCGAGTATCCCCCAAATCCTCCAGCCTGCTGTCCGCATCCGGCTCCAGGACCTCCGGAAGCACCTGCCGCTCCTGCGGATTGCTGGTGCATCTTGGTCATGATGGAAGAGCAGTGGCGGGTGAGCTCCTCGAGCTTGTGGTCGAACTCCTCCTTCTCGGCGGTGGTGTTGGTGTCCAACCAGCGAATGGCCTCGTTGCACTTATCAAGCACCGAGGACTTGTCGGCCTCGCTGAGCTTGTCGGAGCCGGCCTGCTCCACAGCCTGCTTCACGTTGAAGACATAGCTCTCCAGGCTGTTGCGGGAGGAGATGCGCTGGCGCTGCTTCTCGTCCTCGTCGGCGTACCTCTCCGCCTCGTTCACCATGCGGTCGATCTCGGCCTGCGAAAGGCGTCCCTTGTCGTTCTTGATGGTGATGTTCTTGGCCTTGCCCGTGCTCATCTCCTTGGCGGTGACGTTCAGAATGCCGTTGGCGTCCATATCGAAGGTGACCTCGATCTGGGGCACTCCTCTGGGAGCAGGCGGAATGCCGGATAGGTCGAAGGTGCCCAGAGCATTGTTGTCCTTGGTCATGGCGCGCTCGCCCTCGTACACCTGGATAGAGACTCCAGGCTGGTTGTCGGCGTAGGTCGAGAAGGTCTTGGTCTGCTTGCACGGGATGCGGCAGTTGCGCTCAATGAGCTTTGTCATGACGCCGCCGGCGGTCTCGATTCCTAGCGAGAGTGGTGCCACGTCCACCAGCAGCACGTCCTGGATCTTGCCGGTCTGGTCGCCACTGAGAATCGCAGCCTGGACAGCTGCTCCGTAGGCCACAGCCTCGTCAGGGTTTATGGAGAGGTTCAGTCTCTTGCCGTGGAAGAACTGCTGAAGCAGGCTCTGCACCTTGGGAATGCGGGTGGAGCCTCCCACGAGGACAATGTCGTGAATCTGGCCCTTGTCCATCTTGGCGTCGGTCAGGGCCTTCTCCACGGGCTGCAGGGTGTTGCGGAAGAGGTCCGCACAAAGCTCCTCAAAGCGGGCACGGCTCACCTTGGTGTAGAAGTCGTGGCCCTCGAACAGCGCGTCGATCTCGATGGTGGCCTCTGTGCTGGAGGAAAGTGTGCGCTTGGCCCGCTCGGCTGCCGTGCGGAGGCGTCTCAAGGCGCGGGGATTGGAACGCAGATCCTTCTTGAACTTCCTCTTGAACTCCTCCGCCAGGTGGGTGACCAGCCTGTTGTCAAAGTCCTCGCCGCCCAGGTGGGTGTCTCCGGCAGTGGCCCGCACCTCGAACAGGGATCCCTCGTCGATAGTCAGGATGGAGACATCGAAGGTACCGCCTCCCAAGTCGAAGATAAGCACGTTGCGCTCTCCCTTCAGGTTCTTATCCAGTCCGTAGGCCAAGGCGGCGGCAGTGGGCTCGTTGATGATGCGGAGCACATTAAGCCCGGCGATGCGGCCGGCGTCCTTGGTGGCCTGGCGCTGGGAATCGTTGAAGTAGGCGGGAACCGTGATCACCGCGTCGCTGATGGTCTCGCCGAGGTACGCCTCGGCAGTCTCCTTCATCTTGACCAGCACCATGGAGCTGATCTCTTCGGGGGCAAACCGCTTTGACTCACCCTTGAACTCCACCCCGATCTTTGGCTTTCCCCCATCGCTGACCACCTTGAAGGGCCAGTGCTTGATGTCCTCCACGATCTTGGGGTCGTCGTACTTGCGCCCGATCAGGCGCTTGGCGTCGAAGACTGTGTTCCGGGGGTTCATCGCCACCTGGTTCTTGGCGGCGTCTCCGATAAGGCGCTCGGAATCTGTAAAGGCGACGTAGCTTGGCGTGGTCCGGTTGCCCTGGTCGTTGGCGATGATCTCCACCTTGCCGTGCTGGTAGACTCCCACGCAGGAGTACGTGGTGCCCAGATCGATTCCAATGGCAGGCATTTTGTTGCTGTTTCTGTGGCTTACTTGCTTCTTTGGAGAATGTAAAAGTACTAACGGTGTACTGGTTATGGAGATTCCTCCTGTGTTGCAATTTCAAACTTCTTTTTCAACTTCTTGCTTTCTAGATACTCTTGAGATACTTGGTTGAATCAGTTTTCAAGATACTTTTCACTTCTTTTCAGTTGGCTTGTTCAGCTCAGTTGCTTTGCTTGGTTTGGTTGCTTCGCTTTCGCGATGTGTTCAGTTTGCTTGTTTGAATTGAATTGAATGCGAAGAGAAACGGACGGCTATTTATACCCCAGCTGTCTCTTCGCGAACTTTCTTACTCTCTTCCCGAAGGTTCGAGAACTGCTCTCTCGGCGCTTCGAGAGGTCTGGGTAGCTATACCCGACGATTATGGTAGCATTTTAAGAGAGGGTGGTGGGTTAATGCAGCTATAGAAGTTTCTCGATTTTTCCCCGCCAAACATTTAAACCTACGACAACAAAAGATATTTCTAGAAATCGGAAAATCAAATTTTCCTTTTGTTTTCAGCGTTTTCTAGATCGATTCTCTGTCAATGTGCATCATAATTCAAAACAGCACTTGGGCATGTACCTGAACCCTTCGCAGTGCCAGAAAGTGCCATCCATCCATTTTTCCAATTTTTGAAGGGGACACCCCAGAAAAATTGAGATAAAATCTAAAAAAAAATATGTTGTTAGATTTTGATGCAAATTGATAGAAAATCGATCTAGAAACCGTTTAAGACATCCCGCTCAAGAATCGGATGGGTATTGGCGAAGATATAGCCTTCGCAGTGGGAGAAAGTGCCATCAACCCATTTTTTCCAATTTTTGAAGGGGACACCCCAGAAAATTTGAGAAAAAATCTAAAAAAAAATATGTTGTTAGATTTTGATGCAAATTGATGGCAAATCGATCTAGAAACCGTTTAAGACATCCCGCTCAAGAATCGGATGGGTATTGGCAAAGATATAGCCTTCGCAGTGGGAGAAAGTGCCATCAACCCATTTTTTTCAATTTTTGAAGGGGACACCCCAGAAAATTTGAGAAAAAATCTAAAAAAAAATATGTTGTTAGATTTTGATGCAAATTGATAGAAAATCGATCTAGAAACCGTTTAAGACATCCCGCTCAAGAATCGGATGGGTATTGGCGAAGATATAGCCTTCGCAGTGGGAGAAAGTGCCATCAACCCATTTTTTCCAATTTTTGAAGGGGACACCACAGAAAATTTGAGAAAAAATCTAAAAAAAAATATGTTGTTAGATTTTGATGCAAATTAATAGAAAATCGATCTAGAAACCGTTTAAGACATCCCGCTCAAGAATCGGATGGGTATTGGCGAAGATATAGCCTTCGCAGTGGGAGAAAGTGCCATCAACCCATTTTTTCCAATTTTTGAAGGGGACACCCCAGAAAATTTGAGAAAAAATCTAAAAAAAAATATGTTGTTAGATTTTGATGAAAATTGATAGCAAATCGATCTAGAAACCGTTTCAGACATCCCGCTCAAGAATCGGATGGGTATTGGCCAAGATATAGCCTTCGCAGTGGGAGAAAGTGCCACCCACCCATTTTTTCCAATTTTTGAAGGGGACACCCCAGAAAATTTGAGAAAAAATCTAAAAAAAAATATGTTGTTAGATTTTGATGAAAATTGATAGCAAATCGATCTAGAAACCGTTTCAGACATCCCGCTCAAGAATCGGATGGGTATTGGGGAAGATATAGCCTTCGTAGTGGGAGAAAGTGCCACCCACCCAATTTTTTTCAATTTTTGAAGCACAGAGTTAGTATGTTAGTTAGTATGTCATTTTTTTTTGGTACTTTTTATATTAATGTTACCAGAGAACTGCCAAGCTGAATTGTAAAGGATAGTGTTTTTGTGCATAAGAAATACTAAAAATGTGTTTTTTTTGTATTACTTCTGGTCACATTTGCTTTGTTGATAAGACGTCAAAAAAATTAGCAACGCAGAATTTTAAGTCAAATCAAACATAAAAATTAATCCAAGCTTCTCGCTACATATTTTCTCGCGTTGTTTTACTAGTGCCAATGTATTAAAGTATGTCAATATATTCTGTGCCGATGCAGTTCTTAAGATTATTATTTTTTTGCCAGCATAGGACAATGTTTCAGGGCTGAGAAAACTTCACGCATTTAAGGAAAAATCAATTTTTATAAAAGAGCTTGCCTAGCTGTTGGTTTGCAAATTAAAATTAAGGAGGGTCCTAGTAAAAAAGTGCAATAATGAATTTGGACTTTGGAAAAGTGTGCAGCAAGCACATCTCTGTATATGAGGCCTACTACAAACAGGTATTAAAATAAAGATTGGCATACAAAATTTAACCACCTAAGAGTCGATCCAATTATTTATTTTTATTTTTTTAGATTGACCCAAAAGCTACAGGGGCAATTGAAGCTATGACAGCTGCCAAGTTTTTAAAAAAATCTGGTCTCAGCGATGTGGTACTAAGCCGTATATGGGATCTTTCCGATCCAAACGGCAAGGGTTTTCTGGATAAGCCAGGATTTTTTGTGGCTCTTAAGTTAGTGTCGCTTTCGCAGGCGGGTCAAGTGGCCAACATGAACAACATCTATATAGACACAGTCAACCCACCTAAACTTGTGAGTTTACCAATATTTATATTACCATAAAAGAATTAAACTTAGTTCTCTCGTTTAGGGTGAAATTCCAAAAACAATGCCGTCGCGCATTCAAACGGTTCCTGTGCCTAGCGGGGGTATGACTGACAGAGACTGGTCAATTGGGGTTATCGATCGTTTAAAATACGAACAGCTATTCGAGTCCCTCAGTCCAATCAATGGCATGCTGCCCGGAAATAAAGTTAAGGGTGTTTTAATGGATTCAAAACTGCCGATGAATATTCTTGGTACCATCTGGGACTTGGCCGATCAGGACAAAGACGGTAACCTAGACAAACACGAGTTTATCGTGGCCATGCACCTTGTCTACCAAACACTGCAGAAGCGTACCGTTCCCAATGTTCTGCCACCAGAGCTCCGAAAGCCAGGAGCTGTTGCAAGTCAACCGAGTAAGACTCCTCATTCTGCTGCTGTCATTCCACGTGCTGCCAGTGGTGAGGGATTTGGAGACAACGGCTTTGTGGCCAACTTTCCTAAAGACATTGCTCCGCCGGCGGCAATTCCTCCTATGCCAGTGGCTGTGCCACCTGTGACACGAATTCCACCGGTGGGAGCCGTAAGCTCTATGCCTCTGATCCAGACGGATCCTCTGGTTCCCATTGGGGCTCCGCCCTCGGTAAGGGCCAACGCTGACTGGGTGGTAACTCCCGCAGAGCTCAAAAAGTTCGAGGAAATCTTTCAACAATCAGACCTTGACAAGGATGGTTTAGTTTCCGGACTGGAAGTCAGGGATATATTTATAAAGTCGGGTATTCCTCAACGCAGCCTGGCTGATATTTGGTAAGATAAATATTGAACTTATAAACGCTCGATAGCTAAAATTGTTTCTCTTTTTAATTCAGGGCCCTATGCGATACCAATCAATCTGGAAAGCTGACTGTAGAGCAGTTTGCTCTGGCAATGTGGTTTGTTGAACGCAAGCAGCGCGGCGTAGATCCGCCCCATGTTCTCACTGCCAATATGGTGCCGCCATCAATGCGATCGATTGTGTCTGGCGTGGATTTGCAACCTCAGGAGGTGAAACCGACTTATTCTAATCCAGAGCTGGAGATGATATCCAACGAGATTGAAGAGCTGGCCCGCGAACGGCGCGTCCTTGAGACAGAAATCGCCCAAAAGGAAGCAGATGTGCGTATTAAAAACGGAGAAGTACGCAGTCTGCAGGTATGTTGCAATATTTTAAATATTGTACACAATTTGAAAACTATTTTATATGCCAGAGCGAATTGGATACCTTGGCGGCCACACTGAAACAGCTGGAGAATCAGCGCGGGGAAGCTCAGAAGCGACTGGACGACCTACAAGCTCAAGTAATTATTTGTTATATAAGAATCATTTTGGTGCTTTCGTTATTTTTTTCGTTTGCTGAAACTGCAAATTTTAATTTTGAACTTCGAATTTGGTTTTCCTTTTCTTTTAACATATGTTCAACAAACTGTGATAACGATTGGCTTAAAATATATACAAAACTGGTGAATGCACATACACTTACAATAAAAAAAAAATAAAAATCCTTTAGGTTACGCGCAATACGGCCGTGTTGGCTAGCGTATGTCTTGAGATATCGTGCATTAATGAACAGGTTCGTTTCAGTTTTCCAAATTTTCCGTTTTTGTGCGCTTTGTTGACAAGGTTAAAAAATACGTATATGTCTGAAATTTTTCGTTCTTGTGTGCTTCGTTACGTGTATGTCTGAATGTTTAAAAATTACAAAAAAGTTACCAATATTAACCTTAAAAAAATATTATTCTGCAGGTGAATAAAATTCGCGATCAATGTCAAAAGCAGGAGGATACCATTACCGAACAGGAAGGCGAACTTAATACTAAACGATCTGAACTTCAGAAGCTAAAGGATGAAGAAACATCTCTGCAAAAGGAGTATGATTTGAACAACCGTGAGCTATCAAAGTTGACAAAGCACCTGCAAAATACCCAATTGCAGATTAGCTCGGTAGGTTTTAGGCACTCAGATATGTTAGTTGGATTCTTAATCCTTTACATTTTTAGGTCCGTTCGATGGTCACTCTCTTGATGGAGACTCAGCGCCAGATGACTGATGCATTGCTTATATGCCGAGCCGCAATGGACAACCAAAACGCTGAACTCGTTTCCGAGTACCAATTGAAAATCGAACCAGACTTTGAAGATGCTCGCAAGTTATTGGCAAAGGAATTGGAAATGCCTAAAGATGACCCTTTTAATGAGAACAATAGTGGAGTAGCAAAGGAGGCAAATGACGGCTTTTTCAGTGATCCCTTTTCCAGCCAGCTTGCTGGAAAACCAGTTATCTCTACTGGCTTTAATGACAGCTTTAGCGCGAGCTCAGGATTCGAGACCACATTCGATGCCTTCGGTCAGAGTGCACCAGCAACTGGGCTGGAGCAATCACAGAAGCGAGATCCCTTTGGCTCGGATGCATTTTCCGCTAAGAGCGCTGTAACACCAGAAGTCTGTTAATTTTTTTGTTTTTTTATTGTAGAAGAGCTTTTTGTTTTTAATTTTATATAAACTTTTTTTCTTTTAGGCTGGAAAAGACGATTTTGGCAGCGATCCGTTTGCCGCTCTACATGCACCCACAGGGCAGGGTCAGGTCCTCAGTCCCAATCCAGGAAAATCGGGCCCGCCGCCCCGCCCGGAGTCTCCCAGTCCAGCATTGCCGCCAAAGAAGTCAAAGCTGCCTCCTCCAAGACCAGCCCCCCCACGAGCAGCACAGGTATTTAACTTCAAGGGACAAGACTGAAACAAAATCTAATTAAATATAACATGTAACAGCCTGCGACCGCTTTTGGAGGCAGCGGAGGTTTCGCCGACTTTGAAGAGTTCGACAATAAGGTTGGTACCCATCAACACGATTTCACTGTACGGTGGGACCGGTGGTAATGCATGAACCCCGCACCCGTTTGCTCGTTGTGTAGAATTAACCAATATTTTGTTTAATTTTTAGGTATTACTAACGTTCTTTTATGTTTTTCCAAAAATAAATCACAATGCCTAATTATTTAATTTTATTTTAATGTATAAATTGTAAGATTTATATATTTATTTTTGGTTTGCTTTCTAGTAGTCGGAAGTGAAATCTATACTATTGTTTGTTTTTCACATTTGGTGCTATAACTTGTTGTTTAGAAACTAACTATCACGTTCTTCCATCTCTGGATCTTAATCTATTTCCAGTAAACGTCTTAAAATACCAACTTTCATATATCTGATATAACCAGTACTAACATGCATACTCGATAAATGAACGACTTCGACTAGCAGGATAAAACTACAAAAATAATGAAATGAATTTGGACAAACCATTAATATAAAGTAAAATATCAGAAAAAAAAATAAATTCTCAGTCACACTACATGAAATATCGTTAATACATAGGAAAATCCATAATTGTTTGTACCTATATTCGCTTAACTATTTTAAACTCTAGCCAACTAAATTAAACTTTAATGTGGTTAAAAATATATATGCAATAAATTAATTTATCGTTACTATTAATTGTTTTCCGTTTGCATCTTTCATTTGGATGGTTTTTTCGCAATTGGAAAATTGAACGCTAAAATTGATCACAAGTTCTTGTAGTTATTATTGAGATATTTTATTAAGAATATCAATAAGGGTGAGATTTACAATCACTTATTTACATACACTTATAAGTTGGGATCATAGATTGTGCACCTCGACTTACACAAATTCTGTGATTTAGTCAAAAATAATTGCTCTACAGGAGGGATATTGCTCTACAGGAACTAAAATATTTTTATTTAAAATAAAATTATTAATGTAATATTAATGGAGCATTAAATAAATTAACAACAATAACTTTGAGAAATGTTAAGCATTAGATAATCGATTTAAATTATTTGATGACACACTTTTTTTTTTTATGTGAATAAAGAAAATAAAAGGATATATTACAAAGACTACACACATTCATAACTTTCAGAAAAAATCTTAATATTTAAGATCTATTTTTACATTTTCAAGACACTTTTGAACTGTTTTTTTTTCGTTAAATGTATGTGATATTTAGGATACTTCTTTTGTCGTTTCATTTATATTATTATTTATTGATTCCGATTATAATTTATTTATGATTTGATTGCGTTTAATTTTAATTCCATTCTGACGCCGCATTATGACCAAACCCACCAGACACACAGTCAGGCGTCAAGTCCGGCGCCAGAAAAATCTATTGGGCAGTCTCAACCTCCGATGGAATCGTCATCTTTAGCCATATCACCAGCACCAACTTCGTTATTTGCACCATCTTCAACTTTGGCATTAGAAGCAAACATCGGGGAAGTCTCGTCAAATAGCATCGAAGTTTCCAAGCGTTTTTCGAATTCCAATACACCGGTTCAGAAGGAAGTTGATTTTTCGGTAGCCTTTGGAGCATTTAATATGCAGAAAGAATTACCATCCACCCATATTACTGGACCTACCGACTTTAATGACGATCCCTTTAAAGATTATCGCTACGAGGACCCGTTTAGCATTAAGGATCCCTTTGCCGAGGATGATGAAGTAGAGGCATTCCAAAAAAATATCAAATTGGGTCACAAGAATACCTTTTCCGAAGATTTTAGTTCTGAGGGTCAGTAAAGACTGGTGTTTATTTAAGGTTACTTTTATGTTACCAATTTCGTTTTTTTCTAGATGACTTTGGAGACGTGCCTAAGACCAGTGATAGTAACCTACAAAATAACAACCGGAGTAAACTTCAGGCGGCTACCTCACTCATAAATGATCAGCTGAATCAATTTGACGCTTTCAACTTAAACTCAAATCCGCCTCCCTTGCAGAACACTAATTCTTCTAGTTCAGATTATAATCCTACCCGTAAGAATTCAGAATCGACGGTCCACGTATTCGCCGATTTTGATGACTTTGAAACTTTAGCCTGCAATGGAAATGGAGGAGGCGCTAAAAAGTGTACGACTGTTAAAAACACAGGACCAAACGACTCATTCTTTGATGCATTTAATGATAATTTTGGAGAGGACTTAAGCTCCACAACTGTAACAAATGCGACGGTTAAGAAGCTTGAGGATGAAAAAACACCCAGCTCCATTCAGTTAGGCAATCAGAATTTCGCCGAATTTGAAGCATTCGTAGAGCATAATTTCTCAAGTGATTTCGCCAACACGTCGTTAGGAAGCAGTATGAACGAGAAGCAACATACCAATAAGGAGACCATATCTAAAGTTTCAGCTAAGGAAAAATATGACGCAGACTACTCTAAGCCGGAGAGTTTTGATACGGATCTCGAGAAAGCTCTGAAAAGAAGTATGCTGGAAAACTAAATCTTAACCTTTATGTTAAAGCTAGCGTTATAAAATGCAAAATGAAGGTGTTGTACATTTTTTCTTTTGCGGGCTTAGAATCCCCATAGGATCCATACAGACAATTCCAACGAGTATTCCAGCTATATAAATTTTTCGTTAATATTACATAATTATATACTAGTAGACCCTAAGACCGTATGATTTAATCAGTTCCAAAACCAATTAAATGATTGAGTAAAAAACATAAACACATTTTTTGCCATCAATTCGCTATTGAGATCCCTAGATCTCTATAAATTGACTTTTTATACTTCAGTATCAAAACCCTGAACCCAAAATATTTTCAGATTTTCTGTCCTTTTTCAGACGAGACTCTCTTGAAAATGGGGATACGTATATACGTATATATCAGTTGTGATATATGAAAAAATCGATTTTTTTTATTGCATATTCTTTAAGTATATTCTATTGGGAATACTCTCACAAAAATTCATAACGATCGGAGCATTAGAACCGAAGCTGTAGCTATTTATAGCGCACTATCTGCATATAAAACTTGAAACTTTAAACGCGATTAGCTAAAACTAAAACTAAAAAACTACTAATCCGATCAACACCAAATTTTGACCACTTATTTATTATGATATTAGCTAGTCCGTGAACGAGGGATTTTCAATTTTTTTGAAAACTCCTTTTTTAAAGCACAAAAAACGAAAATCTTATACGTTGAAAAAGTACATTTTTTGTTAAAAACGTCGCCATTTTTTTTTTAATCAAAATTTTTAAAAATCCCTCGTTCACGGACTAGACAATACAATATACCAACTAAACTTTTTTGAATTTTGGATTTAGGATGAACCGTTTTCGAGAAATCATGTCCACCGCAAGACACCATCGAAAAAAGACGATCCGGGAATTCGGCTATAACATTTTTGTTATGTAATATTTTTTTATGAAAAAATTTAATTAGGTACCCAGAAACATGTACTAAACAAAGTCGGTAAAACATTTTTCATAAATATTTTCTATGGTGTCAAAAAAAAATCGATAAAAATCCATATTTTTGCGCGGTACAACTGTATATAACTCCTTAAACGATTTGTAGATTTATTTAGCATAAATCTGCATCAAAGCCCTGAACCCAAAATATTTTCAAATTTTCTGTCCCTTTTTCAGACGAGACTCCCTTGAAAATGGGGATATGTTTGGAAAGGAGACTATGTCCCACTGCAATTTCTATATCTTTTCCAGTTTTTATTTGATCTTTGATTTTGCATAAATGGTATTGAAGCAGTCAATACAATTCTTACTCGGGTTTGAAGCTGATTAAAAAAAAGGATTTTTATTTAAGTTCCCCATCATTTTGAATAAGAAAATGGAACACATATTTTTTATTAATTTTTTAAAAATTTTCTGATGGATCCCCTGTAAAACCAAGGAAATGCATATACATATGTATGGAGGTCTTCAAACGGCCTCAATATCTAAATTAATTCTTATCAGATATTGGAGCGGAATAGTTTGAACCATATCATTTTTTGTACATTATTTTATATAAGAATTTAAAAATAGGTCCGATGGCTCCGGTATTTCTTCGCAATTTGCGATTTCCCTCTGGATTGTTTTCTCGAGCTAAAATGGTAATACATTGGGAATCCATTCCATTCTTAGTCCATTCAAACTATTCAGTAGCTTCGATATACCTTCCGGGCCGAGTGTAGCGTATTCTCAGTGTATTGTAACCCACTATTTTTTTTTTGTCCTAAAACCGAAAAAGTTTTAAAAAAGTTAAAATATGAAACAAATTAATACTCACATAACGCGTAGTTCCTCCAGTGTCGGAACACTTAAACGAGAAGGCTGGAGCATACCATCATCCTTTTGCATTTCTTCGGCGTGTTTTTTTTCTTTGTGAGATCGGCAGTTGGCATTGCACGCAAAGGACTTACCACAAAAATTGCATAAATACGGTCTTAGTCCGGTATGACTCAACAAATGTGTCTTTAATGTTTTAGATCTCTTAAAAAGCGCACCGCAAACATCACATTTTAACCTTCTTTCCTCAATATGCACAACCTTATGCATATTCCACGTTCGACGCGTTTGCAATTTCTTGCCGCATATGTTGCAAACGAAGCTGGGTTCCTCGTGTATTTGATTATGCGCCTTGAGACGGGCCCGGTTTTTAAAGCCCGCCTTACAAATTGTGCAAACAAATGGACGATTATCAGTGTGTACGAGCTTATGCTCATTTAGGGCTGTTATCGTCTTCAGCTGCTTGCCGCAACTATCACAGATGTATGGTTTTACGTTTTGATGCATTCCCTCTTTGTGGAGCTTAAGAGCTGTGACAGATGAAAGGGTTTTTTTGCAAACATCACAAAATGTTGTTTTGGCCGTTTTTACCTCTTGATTGACTTTTTGGCATTCACGTTCAGTGTGTTTAAGATAGGAGGCCGGATTTCTATACCCCTTTCCACATCTTCCACAGTCCATCCTTCCGCGTTTGGGTTTTTTATTCAATTTTAGTACATCTGCCTCTGGGAATACTGATAAGACACCGTCATCTTCTAACGTAGATGTTGGTTCAGAAATATTTACAGACTCCATACCGGAGCTTGCCCTTACTTCAAATTTTATATCCTGAATAGAATTTGAAGAGGAACTAAGATTTAAGCGAGATTCGATAGGATAGTTTGATGTCACGATTACATCTTCCATATCTTCATGACTGGAATGGTTAACAAGAGTGTTCTCCATTAAAATTGGGCCGAGATCAATAAATTCCCTCTTGAGAATGTCAAAATCCAGATTATTGGGATAACACTCCATTTCTTTTTTTGGGACTCTTGCATTTCCGAATTCATTTTTGTTTGGAGTATCGTTTGATAAAGGTCCAAGCTCAAAATCCGTTTCTGCCTGTTTGCCATAGTTTGTTTTGTTGGGACTTCCCTCCTTAGATCTATTCTTGTGCTGCAATTCAGGTGATGGCATAGGCTTGATAATATGCGACCAGTCGTCGACGCAGAGTCCATACTGTTGTCGGAGGGCAGTCACATCCAGTTGCATATCGCCTTTACGCCTTAGCACTGCTTTGACACGGTTAGATTAGATAGATTCCCCTTAATAATAACCATTTACCTTCGAAGATTGCTTGCACCTTGGTTACATGCTCTGCAAAATCGATCAATTCGCTGATTAAAGTATAGCACTCTGTGCACAAAACGCTACTCAACTCATCGTCCAGTATCATCTAAAAGTAAAATTTGGTTCATTTTAAATCTAGAATATGATGTATGTACATGTATGTACATACATGCACTTCAAAGAATTTTCTAATAGCCCCAATAAGAACATTGTCCCAAGTCTGTGGGCAAGTCTGCTCGCTTCTTTGCAATTTCACATTGGTCGTAGCGTCGTCTTTGGCGCACAGTCTACACCAGTTCAACCAGTGGCTGTTCATCTTCATAATTTTATAATAATTTTACGACTCTTCCCAACAAGAACTTCCTATTTATTTTTGTTAAAATTACCATATCGCGGAATAAAAAGGAAGTCTGGCAACGCCTGTTTACAGAAAAAATACCGTACACATTCGAAATATGCGGATATAAATATTATATTCAATTTAAAAGGTACATCGAATACAAAAATACATATATTTTAAAATTAATATAAATAAATCTCTAAAGTATAAATATTCTTGCATTTGTAATACATTGCTACAGACTTAAATTCGCTTAAGAATTAATAGAATGCATTTTTATGCCTTTTTCGATTTTGCAATCTCACGGGTTCTGCGAAATAGAGGTATACTTTAATAACTTATTTAAATTCTTTGAAACTGTTAACTTACATTGCTCTCAGTTCCTCTAGTGTTGGAACTGGAACACGTGATGATTTATTTTCATCCTCCAAGGCAGCTTCGGCCGAATGCTTCTTCCATTTGTGTGATCTGCAGTTTGTATTGCTTGCAAAAGACTTTCCACAGTATTCACAAACATACGGCCGCAGTCCTATGTGACCCAATAGGTGAATTTTCATGGCCGTGGAATTCTTGCAGCCAGTATAACATATGTCGCACTTAAAGCGTCTTTCCTCTATGTGTACATATTTATGCTTGTTAAGAATAGCTCGAGTTTGAAGTTTCTTCCCGCAGATGTTGCATACAAAGCTGGGTTCTCCATGTGTTTGGATGTGTACCTTTCCAAAACATAAAAATATATAGGGGCTAAGGGTATGGTTAAGAAATATAGTTTCTTACTTTAAGTCTGGCTTTATTTTTAAAGCCAGCGTTACAAATGGTACAGATGCAAGGTTTTTCATCCGTATGCACTAGCTTATGCTCCACCAAAGATGAGAACGTTTTTAACTGCTTACCGCAACAGTCGCATACAAACAGCCTCAAACCACCGTGAATGTTGTCTTTGAACTCCTCCTTTGGTCCTGGCTCCACAAAGTGTTTTGGAAAAGTCTTTTCTTTAGGTCGTCCCTGTGGATTTTTTGATTGCTGTGCTGATGAGCTTGAAGAATCAATTCCAATTAAAATCTTTTTCTTTGAATATAGCTTATTCCCAAATTTGTCCACTGGCCTAATTCTACCAATGGAGCATTTTAAAGGAATCTGACTCTCCCCATCCTCCTGGGGTATATTTAAATTGTTTTCAAGATAGTCATCTTCCAGTTTACAACTGACTGGTAAGCCATACTCTTGCCTCAATGCGGCTATGTTTATCGAATCATGGGGCTCTGTGTGACGCAAGAGCTCGAAGATGGCCTGAACCTTATTGACACTTTCGGAAAAACTGATTAATTGGCTAACCAGCGCATGGCATGTCTTGCAGAGCATACTGCCTAGTTCTGGCTCTTCAAGAAGCATCTGGAAAAGCATAAGCATCGTAATCGAAAAGACGTAATCATGTCACATTGTCCAAACCTCGACGTCAAAGCATTTGCTTACTGTCCTGACAAAGTCCTCGTCTTGAGAGTCATCGTGCAAATCGACTTCTGGATCGTCGCGGGCGCAAAGGCGACACCAGTACAGCCACTCATTCCCAAGTCCCAAACGCATGTCTCTATTTTTGGTTTATTTATTGTTTGGATTTCAATAAAATTTTATTTTAATAATTAAATGCCGTTTCCGAATTTTACAAGTGTGGCCAGAATTATGCGGAAAAAAAATCCAATGAACAGAGTATGACTCTATAAAAATTACAATTATCATTGAAAAATCAAAATTAAAAAAATACAATAATTTTATGGCGGGATCTTATTTTAATCTTGCAGGGGATATTAATAATTTGGATAAAAGTGTGCAAGGCAGTGAAGGAGACATCTTCGACCCTATAAAGATATGCATATATTCCCTATCAGGATCACCTCTTAAGCCAATACAAGCATGTCCGTTTGACTATCAACGTAAAAGTCTCTTAGTTTTTAAACCATCCATCCATATTGTGTTTTTTTCTGTATTTTTAAGAGTTATTTAGGGCTTTCCATGGGTTTGACAGGCCAAATACGGCCTATTGCCTTTTGCCAGAATACCTCCGAGTAGTATCGTAAGACCTTTTTTTTATGATAGAAGCTTGGGACTTTTTTTTAGATTTTTCATTGTAATAAATTGGTTATGTTATGATATTCTTATAAGGGTCGACCAACTATATCCGATGTATTCGATATATATTCGGTTTTAACTGCAAGGGTATATCAACTTTGGCTCCGCTCGAAGCTTACTTTCCGTTCATGTTACTTTCCATTCAAATACATCTTGAAAATTTTATAAACATAGGTAAAGTGATTAGAAATTCCGTCAACCAATTTAAAAAATATTAAAATATATTCTTGAGAAAAAAGCTTTTAAATTTGTAAGCGACAACGAAGCTAGACTAAGAAACACAGGTTGTTTTGACTTCATTTCAAAAATTTTTGTACAATTTTATAAAAATCTTGTAGGAATTATAAAAAAATAAATGTATGTCTGCTTCAATACCACCAAACCCACGAAACCCCTTAGAACTATATTAAAACAGAAGCAGACTATGCAAAATTTTCTAATAGAAACGCCGAACTTTATCATTTTAAATCTAAAAATAGTTGCTTTTTTTTGGCCTCTTATATTTTAGAAAACCATAAATTTTTTAAATATAGGGAAAAATATTCAAGTCAAATTTAAATTGGATATACTTATTTACTTAAAAACAAAATAGTAAGAGGCCAGTTACCTTACATAGTTGGGGAGGTGATCCCGTTCGCAATATTATATATAAAAAGGGGGTAAAAGCATTAAACTTTAAATAAATGAAACTGTATAGTTGGGAAGATGGCTTCACTACGTTGCACAAAAATTTGATACCCTCTGCAAAAATAATAAAAGGGTTCATTAATAGCACAAATTATTATTACAATTGTCTGAATATACATAATTGCCGGGCATCCAAAAATCATAAGTTTGGTTTGCTATTTATCTTAATCTAAGTTCCGTTTAATTGTAAGTAGGAGCCCTATCGATAGAAGCTGCCTCAAGCAAGATTTTCATAATTTTATCTTTGGCGAACTCGGAGGCATCGTTGTTCATATGTCGCAGTCGGTCCGCCACAAAATCGCCGAAAATCTGGGGTGAATCCTTTTGGTTCCTAAGGGCAGTTGCTACCGCCTTGTTGATCATCTCCTCATCAACAATGGCACCCGATGGTACCTCGCCCTCTTCTTCGATAATTTGCTCCGTCCCAGTTAAGGAGCAATTGGAGAACATTACCTGCTCGGGCTCGTAGAGCGCCAGATTTTCAATAATTTGCTCGTAATCCAAGGATGTCTGGGATTTGCTGACAGTATCAGAGGTTCTTGGCTTCTCACGTTTGATTGTCGCAGTCTTAGTTTTAATCTTATATTGGGGGCTGGAGTTATAGGAGAGACCTTCGGATGTCTCGTCCGGATCGTTCTAAAGAAGATATACTATTAGCTTTCGGTAGCTATGCAGCAAAGGTACATACCAAGTTATGCTTAATTTCTATTCCTAGCTCTAAGCTTCGTTTTATGTGTTTTTTCGTCAGCGCATGGGCTCGCAAATCGCAGATTTTTGTGTTTACGCCGCACTTGCAAAACTTACAATGCGCTCTATATGAGTCATCTGGGTCACGACGCAACCAAGGTTTAAATTCTGGCATCTGAAGCCAAACGTCTCGTAGCTTTTGTTTATAAACTTTCATGTTGCAAAAAATAGAAAAAAATTAAGGAAATTTCACTATAAACGCAATAGAGATGACAATAACAATGCGTATCTGACGCCAACTACCAGTTATCGATATAAAAATACTAACAACGCTCGATAAAAAAAATTCCGATACAACCCAACAACCCTACACGTGAATCAACAGATGATAATAAATGAAGTCCCAAGCACTAGAGCTGGAAAAACATCGATGTTGGCCACAATCGATGTTGTCGATGTTTTGGGATGAAAACATCGATTATAATCGATTATCGAAAAAAAAAAACAAATATTTTTTTTGCCGTTTAAATTAATATTATTTAATTGAGATCAGAAAGGAAACTGTTTTTGTTCAAAAATAACAACTTATTCACTATATTTGGTTTTAGAGAACTCCTACGCTCACTAATGACTTGACCAGCTTTGCTGAAGATCCTCTCGGACGCCGTGGAGGATGCTGGAACGCAAAAGTATTGCTTCGCTATGCTTTTTAAAGCTTCCATGGAATCTGGGCATGTCTATAAAAAATAACCATTAGATTTAAAAGGATAAATTGTACAATTTCAAACCTTGTAGAACTCTAGGGGCTCGACGTTTTCCGGGGAATTTGGGGCCTCCAAATACTGCCTCAGAGCTATAATAGCGTCTGTCCTGGTCGACTTCGATTTAACAGCTACTTTTTGCTGTAGGAACGTAAATTTTTTCTTTTCCGGTTCTGGATTTGGTGGTGTTGGAGGATCGTGCTGTGTTTTGGACAATGTGTTGAACAACTCGTTTTCTAAAGCCTTAGCCGCTTGGTCTGCATTTGATTGAGACAGAAACCCATCTTTTTTAAACCTTGAGTCCAGAATAGTTGCCACTCTTGGGACTGTTCTTGCTTCATAATGGGCGAAACGCTCTGGCATACGAGCCGTTAAAAAATCGAAAATTGATTTCCCCTCTGTAGTTTTAATGTTTGGCTTAATATCAACCATCTTTTTATTTAATTCGCAAATGACAGGAATTAATATTGATATTGAAGCGTTCTTTTCTTGGGAAATTGACCTTGTAGCGTGCTCAAAAGGCTCCAAAATGTTTGCAAAGTCTTCTAAAAAAAAGATGTCCTCTGCTGAGAACGGCTGTGGGGCTTTTGGTGTGACCAGAAGCACTGTTGAAATGTGGTCATTTGTGGCTAATATGCGCTGCACCATGTAAAGAGCAGAGTTCCAGCGGGTGGGAACCTCTTGGACTAAGCTATATGCTTTTTTAGAACCTTGGGCCTGCTTAAACTTTTCATAAGCAATCGTGCTGCTTTTAAAAAAAGACACTATACGTTTACATTTTGATATGGACGGAGACACCATTGGGAGCTTCAGCACTTCCTGGACCAGCAGGTTAATGGTATGTGCGAAGCATGGCAAGTGCTTTAACTCCAAATTTCTACAGGCCTTTACCATGCTCGCGTCATTATCAGTGACAATAGTTGTCACTTTTCTAAGTAAATCCCACTCGGTTAATACGCTTTTTAAAGAAGCCGCTATTGTATCGGCTGAATGGCTTGTTGGAGTTATCAACTTATCCGTTGATAAAACTGCCGATTGGAGATCAAATTTGGATGAAATAAAGTGAACAGTCACTGTAATATACCCTTCATTGGCTTTTGACGTCCAGCAATCCGTTGTAATGCCAACGTGCTCCACTTGGTTTAAAACGTCTTGGAGTTTGATCCTTAAGGCCTCGTATTCGCTTTTAAGGGTAACATTACGCATATGCGTTTTGCTTGGCAGCTTATACATCGGATCCAAGGTTTTTACCAGGTATATAAAACCTGGATCCGTTACTACGCTAAATGGTTGCACATCTTTGGCTATCATTTTTAAAACAGCTTTGTCAATTGCAGCCTTCCGTGCAGAGCCATTTTCATATTGCTTCGTTTTGTTTAAGAACTTGTCCATACATGGCGACAGCGAACTGGGATTGTTTTGCACACTGTCTAAATGATGAGCAGTATTTAAGTGCTGCATTAAATTGCTAGTATTTCCCGAAGTCTTATAGACTTTACCACATTTCAAACAAGTCGCTGTTTGATTTGACCCTTTTTTGAAAAATTCCCATACCTTTGATATTTCCTTTTTTGTCCGCTTGGGACTCGGTATGTTTTCATCGTTCTCGTTGTCCAACACAGTTCCGGTTCCTGTATTAAAAGAAATAAGTGTTAATTAGTTAATTAAAGAATGTATGTACATATAATCCGTGTACTACATATGTACACGTATGTGAAAAAGGGAGAATACATACATACTCGCATGTACATGTACACATGCATGCATGCAAGTTTATTCGCACACTAACATATACATACATATACATACATGTGTACGCATTTTGCATAAAATTATGTATATTTCAGTTAACTTACTTTTAATGAACTTGTCCATAACGCAAGCACTTTGCCACCAACACCACCAATATAGTTCACTATAAAATCACTATAAATTCAAGTAAAATAGATTAGTTTTTGTAAAAATTGCGCAAAGATTTTTTCTCTGCTTACCACGCTTTCTGTTTCTCGCTTGCAAGTGACGATAATCGATGTTTCCAGAAAACAATCGATGTTAAAAATATTTTTGGCAACATCGATAACATCGATGTTACATCGATGTTTTTTCCACCTCTACCAAGCACTCGTAAAACAAAAAATTGATCAAAAAACGGAACACGACGTACTAAAGATGAATTCAAAGGTCAGCTTAAATAAATCGCCAAAGAAAAAGACTAGCAAAACATCGGATAAAAAAAAAGAAAACAGTACAAAATCTGTGGTTACGGAGAGCCCAAAAAATTTGTCGGCAAAAGACTTGGCCAAGATAAACAAAAAGAAAGCAAAAAAACAAGCACAAAAATTAAAAAAACAGCAAAATAAGGTCAAAAATAACGTTGCTGTTGAAGCCGCTGTTCCGGAAAAGCCAGGCAAGTAATCATTCCTCACCACTTATAATTTCTAATAAATTATACAATTTTAATAGATGCTATAAAAAAGGAGTACAAACGGGACCCTGCCACAGATGATGCCACAGTTTTTGTAGGAAATTTGCCAATTAACACTAAAAGAGTACAGTTGGTGAGACTTTTTCAACCCTATGGGATTGTCCAATCCATAAGGCTGAGAACTGCCGGCGGAAAGCAACTTTTTAAGCACAAGCAGCGTAAGGAAGCGGGCTCCCTAAACGCATATGTGGTCCTTCAAAACCCCCAAATTGCTCAAAGTGCATTGGCCTTAAACGGTGTCGAATTTAAAGATAACCACCTGAGAGTAACACCTGCAAAAAAAGTTAAAGGAGGCGATGGATCCGGAGAAGTTAATGACGTAGATTCCAAGAACACTGTTTTCGTTGGCAACCTTAAATATTGTAAGATAGTTCTTTACTTATTATATTCTGCTTCTAATCGTTCCATTGATTCTAGCTACCAACGAAGAAATGTTGCGAGAAATTTTTTCGAGCTGCGGAGTTATTGACTACATTCGCTGCCTTCGCGACGGTGACAAGGGCTGCAAAGGCGTCGCATATGTCTGTTTCAAAAATTCGGACTCTGTTGGCCTGGCTTTGGAACTAAATCAAACTCTTTTAGATGATAGGCCCATAAACGTGGAGCGTTATTCCAATAAAAAACTGGGTGCTAAACAGAAACGTGACGCTGCATCTGCCACTTCTGTGAAATCAGAGGAAAAAAGGAGAAATTCAGCGGGAGCAAAGAAGCGTTTGGATAAAAAGCAGAACGGAAAAAATACTAAGCAGGCTATTGAAGGCCAGCAAAAAAAATCAAATTACCGAGGTGTCAAAGTAGGCGCAGTTACGAAAGCCAAGCATTCTAAGAAAAAGGGAAACGATCACCTAAATAATCTGGCAAAAAAAATTGCTCCAAAAATAAGGACATAAACTAATTGTAGCTAATAGCTATTTTTAATAAAAAAGTAAAACCAAAATGGTTAATTTATATGACTTTTTGGCAAAATGTATAAAAAAAAATCTTTTATTAAAAATTTCAAGATATTGAGCTCACTTTATACGAGAAAGGAAACCAAACCCTTGCAGTTAAGATCGGAAATATATAGGAAATATTAGTTATAATTTGCCAACCCTTTGGAGAATTTGGTTATAATACACATTTCGCCGATATCTTTAAGACTGAGAGACTGGTTCGCGTAGAAATCGACAGACAGAAGAATATATCAAGAATATATATACTTTATAAGGTTGGAGATGTCTTCTTCACTGGGTTGCACACTTTTGACCATAAAACCCTCTGCAAGGGAATAAAAAACTATATTCAGTTCAGTTCATTGAAGTTTCGAATTTTCGTCCGTTTAGACTGTTTTTTACAATGATAATAAAAAAATTTTAATAAACTAAATTTAATGAAGCGGATTATTTTGGGTATACAGCTATTTAAATTTGGCGCAATGTTCGATGCAGTTCAATTAGTGCTGCCCATCTCGTAAAACAGTGTTGGTAAAACTTAGTGAGACCAGTGACAAAATATAAAAAAATATTCGATGAGTTGCCATATCGACTTTATTTTAACATCTTGTTCTATCTTTCCACGTGCGTTTTCCCGGCCGAAACACGCGTTTCTTCAAGTGTCGTTGCTTGTATTTGCAATAATTAATTTGTGACTGCAAAGAAAATTGATATCATGGCATTGAAAAAGAACTCACTTGTAACCGCAAAAGCCGCCGCTAAGAAAGGGGCAAACGGAGTTAAAAAAATAGCTTCGAAGCGCGGGGCTAAGTTGGAGGAAGAAAACCTGGCCTCCCAGATTCCAAACAAGAAATCGAAAAAGCCTGTTAAGGAGATTCTTCAATCAAGTGAGGACGAGTCTGGCGCTGAAGAAGACGTTGTTGCCCAAAATGAAAATGAGAGCGACTCGGAGGTATGTATGTTCATGCTACATACATATGTATGTACAAATGTGTGAAAGGAAAAAAGGTCCATTTTTTCCGATGGGTTAGGGTGTACTAAGGATTCCTTGTTTTTCAGCCTGAAGGTGCATCTGATTTAATCGACGAGGAAGCTGAGGAAGGTGATGAAGTCGAAAGCGAGGAGGAAGATGAGGACGATGATGAGGATGAGGATGAAGAAGGCGATGACGACGAGATTGAACCGGGCCAGGTTAAAAGCACTGTTGTGGCAGGCGAAGACGATTCAGACGAAGACGATGATGAGCCACCCACTGAAGAGGTCATTGCCAAGAAAGATGGCAAAAAAATTGAAACAGCTGGAAAAAAGGAAGGCATTCCTAAAATACCTTCAGGGCGTCCACCTCCAGATACACCAAGCAATCAGATCCTTTACGTGGTTAACTTGCCGCCAGGTGAGGATTCATTTAAATTACTATTACAATAATGACTATAATGATTCAATAATGTTTAAAAAAAATGTCAATATTTCACAGATTTTAAGCACAGCGACGTGGTTGCTTTATTCACCAAATTCGGTCCACTTTTAAGCATTCAACGCCTCAAGAGCAAGCTTGGAAACAATGCTCTTGTAAGTTTTGAGACCGCTGAAGGCGCTAATGCTGCCCTGGCAGCCCAACCCAAGGCTTTGACTTTGAATGGTAAAGTTTTAAGCGTTACGTTAAGCCGAGATACCTCAGATGTAAACAAGCGTACAGTGGTAGTTGGCTTGTTTGGTCCCAAGGTTACCAAGGAGGATTTAAGAACCTTTTTCGAAAAAGTTGGTCAAGTGGAGGAGGTGGTAGTTACATCAAACCGTAACAATCCAAAAGCCTTTGTACGTTTTGTATCTATTGATGATATTCCCAAGGCGCTTAAGCTGCACAACTCTGAGCTTTTCTCCCGATTTATCACTGTGCGATCGCACTATCACTGGCAGACGGCTGTTAAGACTCCAGAACTCACCCTGGTCCTCGACAATACGGGCAAATACGAGTCATATAACTCCGATACCATTGAGAAGATCTTTCAGAAGTTCGGTGATATCGAGTTCGTCGAAGTTGTGTGCACCAATTCTGTGCTAGCGTTTATCAAGTACAAGGAGCCAGAATCTATAACAAAGGCTTTGACCCTAAACGGAACGACTGTTGATAATTTAGTATTGAAATTGTCACGATTCGAGGTTTCTAATAAGAGCATTTTGATTACAAATTTAGCCTCAGGTAAGTTTTGGCCATTTTGGACTTTTCAAGTATGGTTTATTAAATTTTATTCCCATTCATGTAGATGCCACTGAAAGTGATATTCGAGAGGTGTTCCAAAAGAGCGGCGAGATCGACAGTGTGCAAATATTTACAAACAAGGCATTGGTAAAATTCACTACCGAAGATGGCTTTTGTCGGTCATTTCTACTCAACGAGCATCGGATCAAAAAACAACCCATTTTTATTGAACCTAACTCACTGCTGAAGCACGCAATCCTGAGAAAACGCATCCCTTCGACTAATCCGCAGACTAATAAGTTTGGCAAGAGGCCCTTTAACAAGCGCCCTCAAAATAACAATTACGCTAAGCCGTTTGCTAAGAGGCCCAAGAAGTTTTAAGGATTTCTACTAAACTACATTATTTTTAAAATTGTCGTACCATATTGGATAAGTGTTCCCACTTCCAATTTAGTATATAAGTCTGTAATATCCAAGTGCTTTCAAACAATGCAAGATTAAGTTGCAAAAACTTAATGATAAGTTTATCATTTTCATTTAAATAAAAGCGCGACCCTAAATAAAAACGGGGCTTTGTTTTTGGGGGGTGTGGTGCATAACGCAGTGATATTTAAACATTATTGTGTGTTTCGTAAATATACTTCCCCTAGAATACCTGCTCTTCCCCTTGAAAGCATGATTTTCCCCTTTTATATTCTTGAAATATTATAATCGGCTGCTATATAAATGAACGATCGGAAATGAGCCAGCTTCCGTTTTAGGTTGGGAAATCCTACAAATCCTAGCAAATTTCATAAGGATCGCCTATCTATATCCCATATTTGTAAGGGTATATAAACTCGCTTCGCCCAAAGTTAGCACTTCTTTCCTTAAATATAATATATATTAATATTTTATTATATATATTAGATAATTTCTCTAAAAAAACACAGCACGACAAATTTAGACCAAACTTCAGATGATTCGGTTTATATAATTAACATTTATTGGTAATATTTTTAGTAAATGCCTTTATGGTTTATGCTTTGCGATTTTTTCCCATTATTCTCTATATATCTGCTTAAAAGACACATATACCATGATACACGCACATTTGTGTTTATATATATATATGATTCTGTATATATTTTTAAGCCTTTCTGATTTCATTTTACGTTGTTGATTAAAATGAAGAAACAGATATGAATGTAAAGTAATAGTAAATGTTTATAAAAATGAAGTAATCATTGACTTAAAAAAGTCATTGACTGGTACATATTTAACTGGCGGAAATCAAGTCCTAAATACAAACTCTCTGCCACATCCCGTACTGAGAATAGATTATGAATCCATCAGTCTGTCTAGGATTCATTAATCCGTGTTACTGCCCCAAGCCCAAAGTAATGCTGCCCAAGGTTGACATTGTTTAAATCTTTGGGTTGGATTTGACATCTCAACGTTTTTGGATATTCATTTTTAATATATTTTTTCGTAATATGCTATTTTGTAAATTACCAATAATTATTATAATAAGGCAAAAGAAAATGTAGGGCACTAGAGCGGGATGAAGGCAAAACCTTTAACTAACGTTTAAGTAGGGCAACTACAATGCGCGGGTAAATTCTGGTCGTAAATATAGTTAGATAAACTTTAACTTTGGAAAACTTAATCACTTAAAATACCCGCGCTTTTTCAGCAGTCCTAATTGGGTTTTCAGTACAATAAATTCGAGTTGTTGAAGATTTTGTAATACTCTTCACAAAAATATATCTTCTTTATATCAGGATGTAAAATGAAAAAAAAATTCAAAATAAAACAAACAATAATTGTATAAATATGTTTTAGTTATTTTTATCTTTTTTTTTTGTTTAATTTTTAATACATAATATCGTTTTTTAGTATAAATATTTATAAAGAAACAGTAAAAAATTAAGGTTTTCGAGTTGCTTTAACAGTTTTTTGACCATAGTTGTTGATTTGAATTTCATACCTGTGAAATTTTTTAACAAATTAATCAATAATACAAGCAGATTCTTTTGTGTTTAAGACACTTTAAATAAACATGCGCTATAAAACATGTTAGGAGGACATAAACATATTTTTTCGATTCATAATGATGCACTGGGATGTTTTTGATTATGATGAATACATTTTAAAATTAAGCAAATTACAAAGTCTTGGAAAACGCGATTGAAAAACATAAATTATATTATATTTCCAAGTGAATTGCCCTCAAGAATAAGGATACAAAAATCAATTCATTGTTTCTTGTCTAAATAGCAGTCTACTGTTTCTTCAGCTGCGCACAATTGTTGCTCTTATATTGAATTAGTTTTAATTTTTTTTTTTTTTGATTTTTTGTTTGGTTTTAGTTACGTTTTTAAACGTTGGCTAATACTACAGATAAATTGGATTGAGTTTGTTCTCATGACATGACAATTTTTCATTTCTGTTCGTAAAGTTGTCTTATTTTATGAGTACATTTTTTTTTGTCATTTACTGTTACGGTATACTTTATTTAATAGTGAAATGATAATTATTTTTTCTGTCTTCTTCTGAATTTGAAGACGCGCTTTGTTCATGAAGTCATCGACAAAATAAAAAATTAATTCAATTGCAAAAAGCAAAAATAACGGAGCATAAGGAACCATAAAAAAATTAAATAAACTTATATGAGGGAAAAATATAAAAAAAACAGCACAAGGTTACATATCCATTTAGTTTCTCTTAAAACGTAACACAAAAGATCCAATGTATATACCAATAGATTTAATGTTTTTTTTTTTTTAAGTAGTTTGGGTATCGTTTTTCTGACCTAAATATAATTTATTTTTGTTGGTTTCGTTTTGTTTCGTTTTATTTTGTTTCAAGTAATCTTAGTTCGTCGGAGTGTCGTTCTTTAAAATTCAAGAAGAGAAGCTTGAACGGTTGTTTCAACTGGAAGAACTTGCTGATCCTGTTGTTCGACAATTTGGTGTGATCCATCCACTTGGTGGGGACCGCTTCCATTTTGTTCGACAGTGACTTCCTCCTTTGTGCCGCCGTTGGTGGCAACAGTAGTAGCGTCGGATAAAGGTGGAACTTCTTCCGCCTTTTTGGATGTAGCACCCTTTAGTGAAGTACTCTTGCGAATTTTCTGATCAGCTGGTGATGGTTTAGTCGGGATGGATTCTTTGGCTTTAGACTTAAGGGGCGTTGTGGAGGATTTAAGGGGCGATGCCCTTGTAGTAGCAGTAGTTGGCTTCAAAGGCGACAACTTTCTTGGGGCAGAGGCTGTCGCAGCGCCCAGGGGTCGTCGAAGGGAGCTTCCCTGGCTGGTGGTGGTGGAACTTGTTGAGTGTGTAGACTTGGGAGCTGGCCGAGCTGTGAAAGTTTTCGTGATAGTGGTGCTAGTGGTAATGGTTGTTGTGCTAGTTTTTCCCGTCCCATTCGAAGTCGGTTTAGTAGGGCTGCGAGCTGACAATAAAGTTCCATTTGAGGGGGTAGCTTTACGTAGAGCGCTGGTAGCGCTGCGGGGCGGTGACACCTTTGGCTTGGCAGTAGCCGGCGGGACGACCATCACCCGAGGTTTGGATCCAGCTGCATTGGCAGATGCCACTTTTCGAGTTAAACTGTTTGTTCCATCCTCAGCGGAAGTGGCGTTGGTAGCTGACTTTGGAGCTGACGTCAATGGGCGAGTCCGAGCCGGTGCCCTGGCTCCAGGCGCCGAAACCGATCCTCCAGTTGTCGATGCATTGGCACCTTGTTTATTCACTGTAGTTTTAGCTGCCACATTTGGTTTGCTTATTGGAGCAGTGGAGGGCCGTGTGCTAGTCAGAGCCGTCTTGGGCAACCCCTTCGCATTGGGACCTGCACTGCTGCTAAGTGGTTTTCTTGTGGCTGTGGTTAATCCTGCTGACAATGGTTTAGTGACTCCAATAGTAGTTTTGGCTGCTACAGGTGCTGTCCGTGGGCGAGCAGTAGCTACTTTTGTTGCTCCCGAAGGGGGAACCGCAGCGGTATCTCGTTTAGCTGTAGGAAGACTAGCCGAAGTCTTTGGCTTGGCAACCGTCTTCGTTGTTGGTTTCTTTGAATCCACAGAGATGGCTTTGGCCTTGATGATGGTTTCAGCTAAGGGGGTCGAGATATCTGCTTTAACTACCTCCTCAATCTTGTTCGTTTCTGTGCCAGGTTCACTAGGCGGTAGAACAACTTCAGCCTCAGTGGGAAGTTTTTCCTCCAAAGCAATGGGCTCTGGCTTAACTGGATCTAGCCCTTGTAGGTCCTCTCCATCAAATAGCTTTTCCTGGTCGAGACCAACTAAAGGCGGTTCTGCATCAGTAGTAGCTGGCAAAAAGGAAGAGGAGTTGAAAAAGTTATCCGCCACGGATATAGTAGAGGCTAATGGCTCACCAATGGCTGTTGGCAATTCCACTTTATTTTCTAGTGACTCTGAAACGATCTTTTCGCCAAGGTCTAAGTTCGTTGGTGCCAAACTAGGATTAACAGCATATTCTTCTTCCACAAGCTCCTCCTCCAATTGAAGTTCATCATATGTTGGTGCCTCTGCATTCAATGGTTGACTCTCTTCCACAATATTTGACTCCTCTTGGGGCGCGATTTCATCCAATTCCTTATGAGCGAGGTGGGCGTACGCAGGCGTAAAAGGCTGGGCAAATGGATTGATTCCCTGGGCTGCTGGAGACAGTGCATCTTCGTGTTGAGCTATATTGCCAGAAGCTGCGTTAGGGGCAGCATACGACTCCTCCTAAAGAATTAAAGCGTTAGTTACATTAAGTCAACAGTGAATATTAGAAGATGAGCTTGAGGAATTCACGTAACTTGGCAGTCTTTTACCCACAAATGCTTTTTCATTCCTAAGTTCCCCCAGGTTCCTGCAACCTGGCTCAACAATTCCCAACAAATCTGTATGGAAACCTCTAACGAATTTCGATTCACATAAAGTCTTTCAACGAAAGTCAACTTTACTTTCCTAAACTACGAACTTTTACTTCACCCAAATGGGGTTATTGGTTTGATAATAAACAAAATTCAGCAGCATAACCACATAAAATGAAGGAAAACCGATAGGTAACGATGGGGACCCGGCTCAAGCGGAGTTAGTATGGTCCTATTAGAGATTGGAATGGCTTCGAAATGACTTTGGGGATAGCAGAGTAGATGAAGAGTAATGTCGAGGTAGATTTTCCCTTCACTTTTTCTCTACTAAGAAAATCACTGCATGGAAACACGAACAAAGTTCTCTAAACCTTCAAAATGTCAGTGACCAGTAAATGCTTCGGCCGGGGCCATTTGGCATTAGTCGCTGGCCGTTCCCAGTTTTTTTTCTCTCAGGTTCTCCCAGTCGACTGACTCCCCTTTTCTTATTTCCCATTCTTGTTGGCCGATTCTACACTTTTAGCCCTTTGCGAAGTTTCTGCGAAGAGTTGGGGCAAAAACAAAATAATGATGGGCTCTAGAAAACATCGTTTCCAAATAAAAAGTGTATTTGCAACTAAAATTTGTATCTTTGTTTCCGATTGAACTGCATCAGTTGTTGTTGTCAGTGTACTTTGGAACTGTTGCTCAAGCGTAGTAGGGCTTAAAGTTTAAGCTTTATAAGCCGAGAAGAAGCGTACACGTAAAAAGACCCAAGACTAAAATCGGTGTAGTCTTTATTAAGTCGGTTTCGACGTCTTAGAAGTGGTGGGGCAGAGGCATATTTTCCAACCCAAAAAATAGGTTTTTCATATAGCTTTCATGTGTTTCCCAAGCTGGGGCATTACAGTTTTGTCTAAAAGGGCGCAACCTTCTGATGGTGACATCTTTGACTCTATATGTATACGTACATTAACGAGGTACCAAGTCTGAGGTAATTTTGATGACAAAAGAGTAACACTAACTAACAGAAGATAAGTTAATACACTTTTAGCCAAATTTTAGATACTGATTAGAAAGTCAAGAGGTGCCGATAAAATTAATTTTTTATCTTAAGCATTCAGTAGGAACTTTCTCATCCTGGTTGGAACGCTGCCAAATGAGTATTTACAGCCCCATTTCTTTTAAGAGACATTTGACAGTGCACCCATTGATGTGCCCAGCAAGGCGGCAAGTCGCTATCGGTGGCTCTCCTATGTGGTTGTGATTGCGTGGTCCGGTGAATGAATTGGCTGGTCGAAAACCCAGTAAAAAATACGCCGGTGACATCAACTATCTACCCACTGAACACAGACGTGCAAAGTTTTATTTCAACAGTTGCAAAAAAAAAGAATCCACAAGCAGGTTACCATCCAGTTTTGAGTGAAAAGTTTTAGGTAGCCCAGGGACCTTTTAACAAGAAACTCACTTTTTATTCCAAGTCTGCGTTTATATTATTTTATTTCATTTAAGAAATGCATATCATAGTCTAGTATGGATGTCAGTCTTTATTTTATACCTTTACATAAAGAACCTATAGCTCGTTAAAATTCTAAAAGAAAGACGGCACAGGAAGCTCTTTGGCTCGAAAATGGAATGAGCGCCTATGAAGTTGAAAGAATATAGTTGTGAGGCATAAAATACCCCAAATGCTAGGTCATTCGATAACTTTGTGGACAAACAATGAAAACAACAGCGACCTTTACAATCTATCGCAAAATTCTATTTCTTATTCGCTTCAATGCTATTTAATTGCCTTCTTTTCAAAAATCAAAGACGTTTGTGGGTCCTACCCTTGATTTTTCGCGTCAATGTCTAAAAGCTATGAGTTTTGCACACAGTCACAGATATATAAAATTATATATGGAAACCCGAAAATTTTAAAAAGATATACCAAATAAAGCGAATACACCCCTCCCTGTGTCTTATTGGGCATGCAAACGTGTGTGTACTTCTGGGTTGGGGTCTGTGTAATTTCTATTTATAAGCTAGTGAAAAATTTAAGCAAATGGGAAGAATGTCTTGAGAGTCTTAACGGCTTCTATGGAGACTCTTACAAATCCTTTACAAATGGAAGGGGAAAATACTGAAAGGGCATATGAGGTTGCTTGTTTCTGAATCTGTAAAATGCCACGAAAATTATGACGAAAAGAATAAAGGAAGAGCCATCGCCACGCCGGCAAGCTACTCTAACATGCAACACCAGAAACACGCCATAGGGGGCCGGGTAAGAGAGCTCTCACTACAGTCTAAAATTTATACTTCAAATATGTATGTATTTAAGCCATATGTTTGGCTTTTTCTTTATCCCCTGCATCGAGTAATTATCGTGACTCACTCTGGTTTACTTTATATGATCTTTTAAAATATACCTTTAATATTCAGGAGTTACCAATTAGATTAAATAATCCTTATCAGTCAACAGAAAACAGTTAAATCAGTGGAACATTGGACGTTTTTCCCCATTTAGATTAACGGTATCGAACATTTTCCAGATGGTTGGAGTTCAGTTATGGGTGTGTAAAAAAAAACAGAAAGAAAATTAATTTTCAAATAAGGCCAAAGTTCCGTTTTGGTTGGGTTTTCTTTCGGATTTGGCCTCTTGGCTGGAGAGACCACAGAGCTGAGATTTGGTGAAAGGTATCTCGAAGAAAAATTCAAGCAATTTTTGCCCGCGTTTCCCTGAGAACTGATCACCCCCTTTCATTTTGGAAAAGGTTTCGCCTAAAACCATCAAAATTTCGATAATCTTTTTAAGAGTTTTTTATATTTTAAATAAGGGGCCAGTTACATTCTATCTGCGTTTTAACTTTTGCAAAGTTTTTGTATCTCAGTCTGTAGACTATGGCTAGCAAAATGGAGGAAAACTAAAAGAAAGAAAACCATTCATAATAGTAAAAAAATATGAGATAGAAAAGAGTGAGTAGCAAGCAAGCTTGGCGAAGACCAAAAGAAATTTTTAATGGCACAAATGGTGAATGAAACACCTGGCCAAGTACGTACATACACAGGTATGTATACTGGCCAGCTCACGAACGTTGGTTTGGCCAACAATTCTCATTACTTCCACAATTTAATGGGTTCGTTAGCATTGGCCTCTCAGACCCAGAACGAAGGCCTCGACGGGGCTTTATGGAGATGTCTTTCTTTTGGCTAAAAAAATGTAACAAAAAAAATATTAATAAAATAATAATAAATGACATTTAATTCATTATGAAGCAGCACCGGGTGTTATATGGAAAGTTAGTTGAAGTAAAGCCAAAGACAATATTGGATTTTTGTTTTAAGAAGGATTTTCTGAGTAGATTTTCTGCAACTGTCTATATTTAATTAGCTGCACCAGCAGCTATATTTAAAGTCTATTTTTGTGCCGGGAGAGGAGACAGGAGCCATCAGCTAGCATTCTCCAGCAACCATGACTGAGCCCCCATTACCGCGACTCGCATCTATCTGAGCTCTCCAGGGGCCAAAATGGTGCAGCTGCGAAAGCGGAGCGACGTCTTGGGTGAGGTTCTAAAATACTTATTTTTTAAATTGAATTTCTTTGTCTTGTCTTTACTGAAGGGGTAAAAAAGTATATATTTGGCATGTTTATCAAACAAATTTTAGCAAAGAATGGTGATTAAAGGCAGTCCATATTTTTTTCGCCTGTTTTGTGAGGTATACGGTGTAGCCTCTTTCTTGTTCCAAGGCAACCTACACATAACTATGTACATTCTACCTAGATACCAATGTCTCTAGTCTGCAATTGTTCTGCTTTTGGGAGCCATATTGGACCAGCTATGAAACCACAACACCGAACAAGTTTTCCAGAGAAAAAAAATTCTGACCATACACTAGAAATGAATAAATAATAGACAGACCCTAAATATTATCAATCGACCAAGGTCCTTCTTACACAGCCTTGCTATACTAAGGAAAACTGATCCGGGCATAATGTATGTACATACAGGGTTATCAGATCCATATACATGTATAATTAGCGCTTATGAGAAATGTTAAAGTTTAACTACTATCTACGCATTTTTATTTTTGGCTGCTTAGTCACGAGTACTCGTCAAATGGAACGAACTTAAACAGCAAATTTGCTCAATTGCCTCACCACCGGAAAAAAATAAATTCATAGGCACAAAGTGGGCAAAGTGTGGCTCGAAAATTTCTCTTTCCATTTGAACAATCTAGAATTAAGATTAGAATTGTAAAAACCAAAAAAAAAAAAAGAGTATATATATGGAAAATGATTGCTTTTTAGGACTGGGTACGTCCATATGAAAGTCAGTTGTCTCTTTCCTTACAAATAAAAAACACAATAATGACTCAGCCTCGACTTCCATGTCTGGTATGTATGAGCGCTTATATCTCTACAAATCTGATTCTAATCGAAATGTAAATGATTTTGTTTTTTTTTAGAAAAATTTGATAAGATGCCTGAGATAAGGATTTAATATATTCATTGACTCGCGTGATAGATGTGGCTCAAGACAAAGTGCAACGAATGTTATTTGAGTGAAAAGTACGCATGTAATTTTGATTAATTTTTTAAATTAAATATGAGAAACTAATGGACCGCTTTTATAAATATTGTTTTGAAGAGGGAACTATAGAGATCCCAAGCTTGCAACAGCGAGGCACAGCTTTTTAGAAACTAGTTTGGTGTAGGGCGTAAGCTATTCGCGGGACAAAACTCCCACAGGAAGTAGAGTTTGAACAAAAAACAAAAAAAAAAAACAGCGTTTGCCAGAGAGGAAAGCATTAAGCAACAAATAATAAAAAAAATGGTGTGTACATATGTACATACGGACGTACATACATGTGCAAGAAAAAAACCGTATATGACCCAATTAAGCGGAGTCAAAGCCATGTACATACATACATACAGTACATACATATGTATGTATGGATGTTTGCAAGTCTCTCTCTCTTCTTGGTGGTGTTATTGTTTTTGTAATTATGAAAGCGTGTCTGTGTTTCCATTGGAGCTGGAATTTGCAACCAAGCGAAAAGGTTTCCAACTCTTGCAACAGTCGAAAACGCCATTTACTGTTATAGTTGTGGCTACTGGTCATGCAGATTGCAGACGACGAAAAGAGAAAGATGAGAGAGCTCCAAAGCTTTAATGGGGGTACAGAAAAATACATTGACCGCAGGTGACCAGAGATCTCAATTGGAAAGTACATAAATCGAACAGGTAGCGGGAGGAGGAGGTGGCATGAGATTGCTTCCTTCGGTCCTTGATGAGTCTTACGTCCAAGCCATGTCTATTGCTTCTCTCGCGAGGCGACAGCACCACGCCCAGACCAGTCACTACCCGATCCCCACCCGAATGCAGCGAAAAAGCCAAGGGAGACCGTGAACGAGGACGCAGCAGAGTCAGCGACGTACGCGAGGACACACCCCAGACAAAGGCCAGTTAGTTTCCAGAGAACTAACTAAATGAGTAATATCCTCTTAAGGCCAATGGTTGGACCTCCAAAACTTCAATCCTGAAGCGAAAAAATCGTTATCCTAGTTGTACTTCGTTTCCACCCACAGGAGCGGCGCTGGTATCGGCGCATACGATAGGGAGAACCCTGAGAAAAGGGGATGGAAATGGAGTAGAGAGAGCGAGAAGCACATTGCACATGCACTGACAGGATCCAGTGGAAGGACAAAAGAGTATACAAACAAATTTAATGATTTCTCGTTTTACGCCCAGGGACCAGGTGAGGCAAGAGCCATACCTACGGAGGGTTAAGGGGGTTGCAACAAATGCTCTCCAGCTAGGAAACTGGACCCTAAAGACTCACTAAATTCATGACTTGCTCGTGGCATGGAGCTAGAGAGACCTTCGAATGAGTCATATTGCCAGCCTACGAATTCCTCGCCCACTTCATTCCATGCTTACCTGTGGAGGCGCTCCAGCTGAAACAGGCTCGACCACATTTGACTCCAGATATACCTTGGGCTCTGGGTCGTCCTCCTTGGCAAAGCCCTGCTCCAGATCCACGCCTGCTACGATTTCAGTTGGCTGTTCCAGCTCCAACTCGTCCTCTGGTACGAAACCCAGCTCCAAATGCTCTGGTTCCTCTGGTCTGGTCTGCAAATCGTCTCCTACCATTTCCTTGGTGTCCTCGACCAAGTGCTTCTCTTCGGTAAGAGAAAGGGGAGAAGGTGTAATATCTACGATGTCAGCTAGTTGGGAGTTGAGCTCGAAGTTGGCCATTGGCTCGTTCGTTTGAGGAGTCAGCTGTGGGGCACTTGTGTCCAGCAAGAAACTCTCCTCGGCAAAGGGGTCGCGTCTCTCCACCGGCAGCTCAATCTCTTGGTTTTGGGCTTCAGAGGATGTGTTTTCCAGGTAGAACGAAGCCTGCATGGGATCTTCGTCAGCGGATCCGCCGAGTGGCTTCTGATAAAGCGGCTGTTGAAGGTCGAAGCCGTGGTTAATCTCCTCCTGGAACTGCAGCTCTTCAGTAGAGGGAGACTTTGAGACAAGTTCCTTTACTTCAATGTTCAGGGACTCCTTCTCAACCAATTCATCGCCCGGTTGAGTTGGGAGCGGCTGAACGGAGTTCAGAATGTCTTCAATGGAAGTGTTTTGTTCGCCATAGATCGAGTGTTTCATGATGTCACCGTCACCGGTTACTTGGTCTAGCGACAAATCCAAGTCCACGCTGGTCTCCGGACCATGGTCTATCACATTGGTCGGCTCAGGTGGGTTTGCAGAACCGACGCCATTCAGAAGTTGCTCCTCCAAGTTTCCCTCCCCGAAAACATCCGAATCCTGCTCGAGTTCGTGGGGCCTCTTGTCTGCCTCAATGTCGAATTCGCGCTCATCGGGCACAGCGATTGCGTCCATATTATCCTTGGCAGAGCCCTTTCGCGGACTCTCTGCCACCAGATCGTCCAACGGACCACCTAGAATTTGTCTATGATTCAGGCCGAAAACTGGGACATCAGCAGCAGGGAGAGGGGACGCCGGTTGAGAGCCAAAGCTTGGCACAAAAATGACTGCATTGGGATTTAGCTGGGAGTAGTTATCCTCCTGTTCCACAATAGGCTCCACATTTTCCTTGCCATCAAAACTGTCCAGATTTTGGGCCTCCAGTGGGGCCACGGGCACCACTTCGTCCAAAGGTGTTGGATTGTTCTCGCTGAGGCTGCTGGTACCGTATGTTGTGGCAACCGAGCTCTGCTCATCCTCCTCCTCCTGGCCGAGGTCCGGAGATTGTGGCTTCTGGTGCTGCTGCTCGGGAGCTGCCTCAGTCTCCTCGAAAGTATGCTCTCCTTTAGGGGCCACTTCGCCCGTGGAAGTAGTGGTGTTTGAATTTGTTGAAAAGTCGCCGTCGTTCTTGATCACCTCTACATCCTCCTCCTCGTATACGAAGCCGGCGGAGGCACCATTACCAATGCCAACAATCATATCTTCAGGATGGGAGCTATACCCGTTGCCAGCATCCAGAGTTTGATGTTTCTGCTGTTGGAGCTTCTCACTTTGCTGCACCTCGTGTATGTACTTCCACTCGTCATCTTCGTCCCTCTGATCGGATTTTGATGATGCGATATCGGCCGACGCCGGGAGTTCACTAGCGGCCAGATTCGCCTGGTGCTGGTTTTCGCCGGCAACCCCGGATATCTGCAGGCTTTCTGCCAACCGATTCTCCAAGTAGTTTTCGAAACGAGCGTTGTCCTCTTGGTGCTCCATCTTGGTGTTTTTTGAACTTGACTGACTACACAGAAGCAAGTACTGCAAAGATGATTCAGTTGTGATTCACCACTGCGTTTTATTTCTCAGTTTTTTTCGTTTCTTTTTCGGCGTTGCCTCTTGCAGATTCTCGCAAAAAACACACACACAAGCAAGTCCGACGCAGCCACACGGACTCACACAAACGCAGCAGTGAGCGACGAAAAGCGAAAAAGAGGCACAAGTAGACACAAGAGAGTAAAGTCACCAACAATTTTCGCTTGTCCTGCGTCTTGCTTTGCTTTGTCCTTTTTCTTGACAGAATTCAAATGTTAGAGTGTACTGCTCGACGCGTATTTAACCTTTCAAGTCGCCTTTTAAAACAAACAGGCAGCTACCAGTTGACTTTGCCGACTTATTAGTTTCTGTTTGCAGAGCTTTTCAAATTATTCGCGACCCAAGCGGTTTTAGCGCAACACGAACGTTCAGCTTTGAAAGAAAAATTCACAGTGTGACCAGGCAGAAAGTACAATGCGACCCCGAACTAGTATTTTCTCGGGTTTTTGGTATTATTGACTCGAATTTTTTTTTGGTAACAAAGCAAGTTTTATATAAAAGTAACTTGTCACACCGGCGGCTAGCCTCGACTTTGCCCGTTCAAAAGTTCAATGTAAAAAGAATTCCAAAAAGTTCAGGTGAGGTAAGAATAAAAATATTTTAGCTAAATCATATTTTATAATACAGTCTTAGGTATGGCAGAGCGGCTTGACGTAATTATTTTTGGAGCCAGTGGATTTACCGGAAAGTACACTGTGCTTGAAGCGGTCACTGTTCTTGGAGGTTTGCGATGGGGAATTGCGGGTAGAAACCCCGAAAAGCTTAGAGCAACACTTAAGGAAGTTGGCGTCAAAGCCAAAAAGGACCTCTCTCAAGTGCCCGTAATAATAGCAGACGTCAACGATGAGGCCGCTCTTTTGGAAATGGCTAAGAAATGCCGAATCGTCGTAAACACGGCTGGGCCCTACCGTTTTTACGGCGAGAATGTGGTGAAGGCCTGCATAGAAGCCGGCACCCACCATGTAGACGTCAGTGGAGAGCCCCAGTACATGGAGACGTGCCAACTAAAGTACGACCAATTAGCCAGACAGAAGGGTGTGTACGTGGTCAGCGCCTGTGGATTTGATTCCATCCCAGCAGACATGGGTGTCATCTTTTTGGAAAAAAATTTTGATGGTGTCGTTAACTCTGTGGAAAGTTTTTTGGAGAGTGGAATCAAACAAGGAGAAGGAAGCAACGATAGCAGTGCCGGATTGAACTACGGCACCTGGGAGAGTGCCATTTACGGCTTGGCCCACTCTGATGAGTTGCGGGGCATTCGCCAACAGCTTTATCCACAAAAATTGCCGAAGTTTTACCCCGTTCTTCGACCGAGACCTCTGCTGTTTCGGTCTTCGGAGGTGGATAAGGTGTGTTTACCATTTCCTGGATCAGATCGGTCCGTGGTAATGAGATCACAGCGCTTTTTCTACAACCAGGATATGAAAAGACCTGTGCAGATGCAAGCCTATGTGGGATTCTCTTCTTGGATGATTGCCAGTGTTGTAATCTTCTTCGCCAGTATCTTTGGACTTCTATCAAAGTTTAAAATTGGCCGAACATTGCTTCTAAAATATCCCAAACTATTTTCTGGAGGATTGGCTTCGCGGGAAGGCCCCAGCGAGGACTCAATGGAGCGTACCTTCTTTAAAATGACTTTTAAAGCTGTTGGTTGGCCTAGAACCGATCGTCTAGCAGAAGGATCCGATCAGTACACGGAGCCTCCAACTAAAACGCTTATGGTACGAGTCTCTGGAATGAATCCCGGCTATGGAGCTACATGCGTGGCACTACTTTGTACCGCTTTGACCATATTGCGTGAGTCTGAAAAAATGCCCAACAACGGTGGAGTACTGACCCCAGCGGCCGCCTTTTCCAAAACGACCCTTATCAGTGAACTTGAGAAGCATGAGCACGGCATGAAATTTGAAATTCTTGCCAACAAGTAAAGCTTACTTTTAAAACTATTTACTTTTTATGTATATCTTATCATCTTGTTAATAAGGCAAAGCCTAATATGTACAATATCTCGTAGGTAATTCTGAAAATAAGGAAAATAAAGAAGATTGTATAGTTTTCCAATATTATTATAACAATTTATTTGTAGGTTTACTAGTCACTTTGATTTGCTGATAGTTGTTTTCGGAAGCGTGTTTGAGCATCCACAGGCCAATCTTTTAGCTTAGATTTGCCGCAAGGTACACAAAAGGTTGCTGTGTAATAGAAGCTGCACCCGGAACTTTTGCAAACTATTTTTAAGCAACTGGAACATTTCGATCCCATTGATATATAATATTCGGGAACGGGTCTGCCTGCCTGAGGAGGCGGCTGGAAGGGATCCCGCAACACATAATTGTCCTCTTTATACCGAATGCCTAAAGCGAAAGGGGGCTCTCTTCCAAAGTAGTGAACAAGCTCATGCATATAGCACCCAGAACAGCGAAAGTCAATTCGGGCTATACGCGCATCTATATCATCGCGCTTCTGGGAATTTTGGTCCTTTTCGGTTGGCTCCAAACGAGGTACATTCACAGCATTATTGTTCGATGTGGTATTCTTTTCAGCTTCCATATCTCATGATAGCTGTAAAATCATAAAGAGCAATAGAAAACAGGTAACAGGTCATATAAGAAACATGGTTTACTATACTAAAGATTCTACAGTCACGCAACGATAAAATTCAACAATTGGTGGTTACAATCAGCTCTTGACTCATTCCGCGAAAGCCATACGACGCTTTCCTGGCATGTCTTGTGGCCACCACTGCGGTCGGTCGGCGTAACAGCGCTCACCGTCGACCATTAGCTCCTGGCGGCCATTGAGCACCTGTTCGATGCGCAGTAAGGCCACTCCACGGTTATGAGCAGCCCCGCAGACGCGGCCTAGTTTTGCTCCCGCCACGGAAGTCACATCCTTATTGGATCCAATCGGAGCTGTAAGTCGGATCGGCATGTAGCGCTTGCGAATCACACCTGAATGATGTATGCGGGCGGTCAGCTCCTGGCCCACATAACAGCCCTTCTGAAAGCTCACGCCGTGCAGATAATCGGCATTAGCCTCTAGGGGAAAGCACTTGCCGGGAGGTAGCTCTAGACTACCCTCCCCTACACCTTGTTCATACCGAAGCAATTGATAGTTGCAATCTTCAGAAGCTGGTGACGCTGAGAATTCGTTGTTGCACCAGTAGCCTTTGATTAGTTGACTCCAGTTTAGGTCTGCCGGTGCCAGGATGCGGGTCCCCAAAGAAGAAAGTCTTGCATCGGGGGACACAAATAAATCCGGATTAGAACTGGGGGGCACCGGTTCCGATTTCGGACTGAACATTACCCAAGTGCTGTACTCGTCATCCACACTGTCGATGTCGATGCTCTTCCGAACCCGGTAAGTACGCAGATGGCGCCGAAACTCCGCTGAAGCTTCGCGATCACATTCAAGCAAAAATGTGTCGGGATTGTTTGTTCGATAAATAATTGTATCGTATAGAACGCGGCCACTTTTGTTGAGAAAAAGGCCATACATCGAGGAAGGACCGCTGGACGACTCCAATCGTGATACATCGTTCGTCACCAGACCTTGCAGGAATGGGATCACTTCAGATCCATGGACGCGTATGAGCTCTCGACCGGACAACGGCTCCAGGATGAAATTCTGCCGCCCAGTGACTGATCGGGCGGACGGAATACGCATCAGCGTAGATAGCTCGCGAAGATTACGTATGTGCAGCCGCGCCATGCGTAATAACTTGAAATTTGTGCCTAGGTTCATGCTGCAATTGGAGGTCTCCCTTCGGTCGCAGTGCAAATGAGCAAACTCGAACACTTACCTTGGCTGCAATGTTTTAATTCGAAATTTCGGCTTTATCAGTGTGAACTTTAAATTTGTACTATCCAATTCTCGTTTGGAACGCTTTCTGTCAACGTAAGAAAAATGTTCTTAAAACAGCCGGGAATTGTTGACAGATATATCAGTGCAGTGTAACCGGACATCAATGATACAAAAAAATCCCAAAGACAGGGTTTTACTATAAACAAATTTTTTTGTATCTGTAAAATCATATTATTAGACCCAATCTAGCAAATTTAATTTTCCACATAACTTGACCATTTATTAGCTCGGATGAAGGCATTATTAGAATGGGTGGTATTTCTTTAATAAAGTTTTCTAACGATAGGCTGCCAGACGTTTCAATTAGGGTTACCAGACTGCTTCACGGGGCGTTGCCACCTATCGATAAGCTAGTATTTTATCGCCAAAGTATACACATAAAAAATTAAATTGCAGCACACACATATTTCTTAAAAGGTCTGCAAGTGCCGAAAAATAAAGAGAGGAGTTCGCGAGGAGGAATAGTTAAGCGTACCACACAGGAAAGAAACATAGGAGGGGCAGCGAACGGGTAGACGCCCGACAGGAACAACAAAAAACTCTAATGAACACGCTGAATACCAGCACGAACGGCGGGGGAGGAGGAGGTAGTGGAGCAGGAGCACCTGGGAGCAGCTTGTCTGCTTCGGGCAACGGATCCAATGTGATAGGTGTTGCAAATACCAGCAGTGGAGTTGCGGCGGGCGACGAAGCAGGCGGAGATGCCAGCTCCCGACGACAGGCGACACGCGTCTTCAAGAAGAGCTCGTCCAACGGCAAGATCACTGTATATCTTGGTAAACGAGACTTCGTGGATCATGTTACCCATGTGGATCCCATTGATGGAGTTGTCTTCATCGATCCCGAGTACGTCAAGGATCGCAAGGTGTTTGGCCAAGTTTTGGCAGCATTTCGATACGGCCGAGAGGACCTGGACGTCTTGGGATTGACATTCCGGAAAGACCTATATCTGGCGCATGAGCAGATCTACCCGCCCATGCAGTTGGAGCGTCCGATGACCCGTCTGCAGGAGCGGCTTATAAAAAAGCTGGGTCCAAACGCCCATCCCTTCTACTTCGAGGTACCGCCTTACTGCCCTGCCTCTGTGTCCTTGCAACCGGCACCCGGTGATGTGGGAAAGTCGTGCGGAGTGGATTACGAACTAAAGGCTTTCGTGGGTGAGTCAATGATTGGACTCGTCTTAAGTGGGTCGGGGGTGTGTTCATTGTCCGGCGGTCACAGAAAGTCAAAATCATTGATGAATGCTTGCATCTGTTTTATTACAGTATATACAATATTACAGTTTTATATGTATATACAATCATATATGTATATATGTATACTCACATACTTATGTATTTTGTTATAAAATCCCGGAATTTCCATGAGGAAAACTCTCTAAAACGTAGAATCTAGATATTCCTATGATCTGAATCGGAAAGAAACCGATGCCTAAAGTATTTGTTCGTAAGAACTTTAACTTGTTGCATTTAGACTTTCAAGAAATATAGTATTGTATAAAATTCAATACTATTTACTTATATAAGTGATACATTTGTACCTATATGTGTATGCAGTTTGTTTGTATAATTTAGCCCATGTGTCACGCGACGGAGAGAGGGTTAATTAATGGCTACGTTGGCTTGCACAAAAATGTCATGGCTGGTGACGCAGCGCCCAACTGAATAGAACTCGACGCTTCTAATTGGAATCCGATTCGGCCGTACTTGTTTGTTCGAGGCAATAAGGCGATACTGGGACTGGGCACTGCTAGCGTTCTCTGTTTCCAACTGCTTTTAAAAATTTTTCTGGACAACCTATTGAAAGTTAAATGTTGGTGGAAGCTAAACAGTGGAATTTCCCCGCATTATAGCAATAAAGAAAATTTCACAATGCTCATACATTTTAAGACACAAGTCTGGGGTTTCGATATCCTTTTAACAAACTTCTTCATACATTTGACTATGCGTTGAGGTACGCACATAAATACATATATTTGCATCTTTTGGCCGTAAGCTTTTCGTTTTTTATCTGGCGTTCCTATTGTATGATTTTCTTTCTTATCATCCATAAAAAGATTATCATAAAAAGATTATTGCAAAATTGTGCGATCGTGTGGGTTCTTTCATAATCATGATCATTCGCTGCCATTGCTACACTTTGTTTTGGTGTCGTTCAGTTACCAGGTTCAGTTCATTTTACCCAAACGAGGCCTATTATAATTTGTTTAATGAATCAACATTCATATGTATGTAGGTATGTGCACTTTAGGCAAATATCTCTGTTTACTTCGTCACTTCGTTATTATAAAAAAGTACGTATAGAATATTTTGTAAACACCTCAAGTAGAAGTATATACATATGTGTCTATGAACAATTCGCCTATTCCTAAAATGGATATCTCATACATATCTCTTCCCCACAGATAGACTCTTTCTCGGTATTTCTTCTTTTTCGTCTCTACTTGGCGTCTGGCGATTTGTTTATTTAATGTGCCTCGTTCCATGTTTTCGGGATAAACAATTCGCTTTTGGCCCCTTTGACGCAGCTCGATTTATGATCTTCCCAATGGAATGTATTTTATTCGATTGGCAAAAGGCAAGTCGGTTGGCATTGAGCTGTCCAATTTGGCATCCAAAAACATCTCGTTGCTAGAAGGTTATGAAATTAGGAATTATAAGCTATCTGTAGCCTTTTCATTTAGATGCGCCTTGTCAGATGACCAAGGTTGTATCGTTACGATGCTCATTTTAGAACACTAGCCCTTTCAAGACACACCCCCACTGAAACATTAGGACATCCTGTCAGATGATTTTATAAACTCTTCGAAGCATTTACTAACCATTTTAATTTCATTTGAGGCGAACATGTGGAGGACAAGCCGCACAAGCGCAATTCTGTGCGACTCACCATCCGCAAGGTTATGTACGCCCCCTCTAAGGCTGGCGAGCAACCTTCGATCGAGGTCAGCAAGGAGTTTATGATGAAGCCGAACAAGATCCATTTGGAGGCAAGTTTGGATAAGGAGCTGTACCACCACGGCGAGAAAATTTCGGTCAACGTTCATGTGGCCAATAACTCTAATCGCACTGTGAAAAAGATAAAGGTGTGTGTGAGGCAGTTTGCGGATATTTGCCTTTTTTCGACGGCTCAGTACAAGTCTGTTGTGGCCGAGATCGAGTCGGAAGATGGCTGTCAAGTTGCTCCAGGATTCACTCTATCCAAGGTGTTTGAGTTGTGCCCCCTTCTCGCAAATAATAAGGACAAGTGGGGCCTAGCTTTGGACGGCCAGCTAAAGCATGAGGATACAAACCTGGCTTCCAGCACGCTCATTACGAACCCTGCCCAACGTGAGAGTCTCGGAATAATGGTACACTATAAGGTTAAGGTGAAGCTACTGATTAGTTCGCCGCTACTCAATGGCGACCTCGTGGCTGAGCTGCCTTTTACCCTAATGCACCCTAAGCCGGAGGAGGACGATCACCCATTGCTTGGAGAAAGGTCGCCCCGAGCGAGTCTGGTCGGTGGTCAGCCATTGGTGAGTTTGGCCGATGGAAGCGACAAAGGAGGATCATCTGGTGGACAGGGGCAAACACAGGATGTGCCTACTACAACCAATCTTATTCAACTTGATGACGACGAGGCACAGGATGACGACATTATTTTTGAGGACTTTGCGCGTCTGCGTCTAAAAGGCGCCGAAACAGAGGCCTAAAGATTTTCAAGATACTGAAAACACTGAAATACATTTTCGGGCTAGGTATCATACGAAAGAGATGTCGTAAATTTGCAGAGCCGCTAAATGTAAAGTTTTATACCAATAGCAAATAGCCACAGTAAATAGTTTTATGTAAGCTATTTGATATATGTAGGCCATACGTTCTAGTATCAATAGGGTTTAAGCTGAAAGTGTACGAATTTGAAAATGTGAAATTGTTTAACAAATACACCAAATCTACACGAAATGTAAACATAAGCGAACTTGGCAAGCTTATCGTCATGCTTATTGTCAGGCCTGCAACAGTTAAAACGATGCACAAAATTGAAAATTATGTAAAATAAAACTTTAAATGTAATCTTTCGGTTTGTGACAGGTTTGATTCAAAATCATATATGATTTGAATTAAAAAATCTGTCGATGATTTGGTTAGTACTTTTGTTATTGTGGCATAAATGTTGCCATGCAAAAAATAATAAGAGTTAAACCGTTTTTATTTTTTTTTTATGCTTCCACGTGGAAGAACATGTAGGCAATATGTAACAACCAAAACAAGTAAAAGTGATTTTTTAATTCCAATTCAAAATAATAATTGTCAATGAAATGTCTAACCGATTAATAAAAATAAATAATAATTTTATTTTATAGCCTCTTTTTGCTAAAAGTTTTATGTATATTAAATTGTCTAAGTGAACCTTTGAAACAACAAATATTGTTCTGAAATGTTTCGCAGATTAATTATGACAAGGTCGTATGAAAATGTACTAGTATTGTCCAAATCGAAATTCCTCAACGAAAACCAACTCTCATACGGGAGTGTGTGAAGCTGCTTTAGAGGCACAAATTCGGAATTTGAAAACCGAAAACCAAAACTAAGAACAAATATTAAACAAAATTGGTTCCTTTACTGTATTACTGGCGTCTAATCAGACAAAGAATTAGTTGCGACTATGACAGGAATAATTAAAATGGTATTTTAAGGAATTTCGAGATATTTAGCTCGAATTCGTTTTATGTCCCACCCCGCCACCTAACATATGTGTACATGAATAGGAAAAAATTAACAAGAATCAAAAAAAAAGGAACATTTTAATATGAATTTTTATAACATAGGGATACGTGTCCTTCTGCACCAAACTTAAAGGTTTGTTGCAATTTTTTTTACTCAATTGGAAAAATAAGGGGTTTGCCAGCGATCTTGGGTTGGAGTGGGTTGGAGCTTTTCGAAATGGATATGCTATTAAATATATTAGAGAAATTGTCCCTAATGTATGTATATGTAAATTTGAACTGAAATATGCATTGAAACGTGAATATCGTACATTTAAATAAATATTTACTCTCCAGATGAGAGAAAAGCATTTAAGCCGATCAAATTATGAATGTGAGTATGTAAAAATATGAATTAAAAATACCAAGATAATTTGTAAAATATTTTTAGTGTTTTTATAATACCTTTTTATGAATAGAGAACGTACAACATAATTATATAAAATATATGTAACAGAGGCTGGAAAGACAAACAGCATAACCCATTTGGTAGCCCGCTTAAAAACTGAAAATGAATTTTATTTTTTTAAATGTGTATGTTTTTTAGTACAAAAAGCATTCAAGTTTATAAATGTTCAATGTATGCCTAACAAGCTTATATCTTTGTCGGACTAGGCTTCAGAAATATAAGTTTTTAAATGTGAATATGCAAACCACACACGCACACCCCACACACAATTAGATACATATGCCGAGTATGTGCGAGAGCGAATGTTGAATGTACCTATCATGACACTTATGTTTGAGCCTCGTTATAAAATAGTAATATTTATAGGAATGTTATGGAGGCAAATGCATTGCTTTGGCTCCAATTTGTCCATCAAATAATTAATGTTCTTCATCCGCATTGTGAAATTGTACCAACCAATAATGCTTTGAAAAACTCTATAAATAATAAACACTAACATATTTATTTTTTGTTCCATTGCCCATATTGTTGCACAATTTAGGAAATATTTAATCAATGGAATACGGAATATTTGTAATGTTTTAAGGTCGAGATGGATATTAAATATATGCAATGCTCCTGAAAATGTGTACGCAACATTTATCACCAAACCAAGGTTTAGATGCTAATTTAAATTATTGGGGAAAATATAAAGAAATAAAAAATAGGGAACTTTATTGAAGTTTAAACCACTAGTGCAAGTTAAGCGCAATCCAGCGAAATCTCCCACCCAGTATTTACAGCCTATAAAATAAACGCCATCAGAAGGTTAGGGAAAATCGTTATTATTATTTCAGATAGTATGAATAATTAAATACGGCCACTGTGCTTTGGAGCTCGGCTGCGGTTAGAAGGCTGGAGCGGATGTCGCTACGGTTGGCCAGAACGATGGGTTCAACGGCAAGCGGAAAACCGCAATTCGGAAAAGCCTTTCGTTTAGCTCACCCCCGTTTCACCGGGATATGTGTGCTGGCGCATGGCACCGTCAACTTTTTCAAGGGACTCGATGCGGTCATATCTTGAGTGGATCCCAGTTGGTCAACCTGAGGGGCACATCGGATCTGTCGCTCAGAGCCGAGCAGCAGTTCTTCATTTCCGGTGAAGCTTAAGAGCCGTGATTCCTTCCCGACCCCCCCTTTTCTCCAGCTGCGTACCGGGGAAGCCTTGTGTCTTTTACGGCGGCCTCGCCTTCTCCGACTCTTGCTTTGTACACACTGTATGGTTTTCATTTCCGGTTTCCGTTGCTGTTGAGTTACTTAAGCGGATTACAAAAGCGTTTCCAAAGCCGACAGAGAGGTCTGCTCACAGGAGCGGTACGATAGAGTCAAGGATGAATTTCAGGTCCACCTGTGTTTATACCCTTGCAGAGGGTATTATAATTTTGTCCAAAAGTGTGCAACGCAGTGAAGGAGACATCTCCGACCCTATAAAGTATATATATTCTTGATCAGGATCACCTCCTGAGTTGATATGAGCATGTCCGTCTGTCCGTCTGTCCGTCTGTCTGTCTGTCCGTCTGTCTGTTTCTACGCAAACTAGTCTCTCAGTTTTAAAGCTATCGTCTTGAAACTTTGCACACACCCTTCTTTCCTTTGCACGCAGTATATAAGTCGGAACGGCCCGGATCGGCCGACTATATCCTATAGCTGCCATATAACTGATTGATCGGAAATGGTATAACTTTGGTATTTTTAGAGTTAGAAAGTTCAAATTTTAGGTGAGAGCTATTTTGGCAAAATAATACGACATGCCAAATTTCATAAGGATCGGCCGACTATATCCTATAGCTGTCATATAACTGAACGATCGGAAATGACCCAAATTTTGTGTTTTTGAAGATAGAAAGCTGGAATTTAGTACAGACTCTATTTTTGGTCAGTTGATCCAACCTACCAAATTTCATTAGGATCGGCCGACTATATCCTATAGCTGCCATATAACTGAACGATCGGAAATGGTATTTGGTAGAAATATCAACTTTCGTATTTTTGAAGATAGAAGCTTGGGACTTTTTTTAGATTTTGTATTGTAATAAATTGGAGTATATATTCCTATTCCCATAAGGATCGGCCAACTATATCCGATGTTTGCGATATATATCCGGTTTTAACTGCAAGGGTATATAAACTTCGGCTCCGCCCGAAGTTAGCTTTCCTTTCTTGTTTTGTTTTAATTTATAAAACTAATTTGTTATTTTAAGGATACTTTGTGTATATTTCTATCAAAAATGGGTATGGTTTTTATGTAGATTTTTTAAAATTTTAATATGACATATGTTCTATTTACCGCTGGGTTAAAGCTTTGAAAAACTTTATATGCCCAGTTCCTTTTCCACCTTGAGTTATTAACGTTCAAAGAAAAATTAAATCTATTATTTGAATTGGATTTTTGCGACTGTTTCGTACGGTGAAGGAGGTCCCGACGAGGAATGCATCTCTTGTCCACGGGGAGAGCTGTCAGTGCGCCATTGAAGCTTTGTTCTGACGTTTCACTTGAAATGCAAAAGTTCAATTTACTGCAGGCGCCAGTTGCTTTCTTTACTCATGTTGCGTGCTCTGGCCGGGGATGGTTCGGACTCCGGACGCCGGAAACAAACTGCGTCCACTCACTACCTACATACAACCTTGATCCACGCCCCCAGCTTCCGCTCCCACGCACGGACCTCCCAAACATGTGTACCTGGCAGTGAACAAAGCAATGTGAACCAAGACCAAGCTTCTGCCCTGGACAGTTGTTACCGCTGGGCAAAGACGTCCACTGGCGGGTTCAGGTCGGAGTCCGCCGACTGGTTTAGTTTTTGTTTCTGGTTCTGGCGCTGGAGCTGGCACTGGCTCGGAGCGAGAGCTTCCAATTCCCTTCGAATTACCCCCTAGTCGCTGCATGTGGATGTGATTGGATGGACTGGGACGGACACTTGGGAAAAAAGAGAAATTATATTCCAGTGCTCGGATAACAATATGGCTTCAGCCCAAATTAAGAAGTGAATTTTGGTTCTGTAAATAAGGGTTTTACCTTTATATATTTTTGTATTTTTCCGCAGTGATTGAGTGGTTGAGTTGGTTTCGAGTGTAGAACACCATTCCGTTATGGCGATGATCAACGTACCGTTACGGTTTTACCATGCAAATTCCGGGGAAAACATTTTTCGGACACAGGAACAGAGGCGTGAGTGAGACTGAGCACAGGAACAGCTGCCGTCTGCCATCAGCCGGTTGGCCTGCGGCTATCGATGATGAGCGCTATGTTCATAACCTGCCCCTCCTCCTCCTCATCCACTTCCACTTCCACCTCAACCTCACCCACACCGGGGCAGTGGTGGAAGTGTTTTCCACCCAGGCCGGGTGGATGGGCTTTGCATGCTAATTCCCCGCAGGTGAACATGGTCCAAAGACCATGCCGTGAGCCTAGGGGTCTAACGAGACCCGTACTTCCCACATCTTGTGTACACATACACTGGGAACTTTCAACATTTTCTTGGGTGCGCCAATTTTAATTGGCTCACCTTTTAATTTTCCGAAGCCCTTGCCCATGATGCATAACTAATTTTCTGATTTCATATGTTGAGTTAGGATTTCGTTAAGTGCACGACGCACTTTGGCTCTCAGAGGGGAGGGCTATTTCTTGTCCAGGACAGATCAAAGTGACAACTGACCATATTTACCTACTGTATGCAGAATGCTAGCCCCCACTGGCTGAGGGCCCACAACAAAGTACGACCGCAGCCAATTTGGCTGGATATAAGGCTAATTGGTCCGGACTCCGGAGTGCGTGTGCCGAGATAAGACGGCAGAGCTTGATTATACTTCCGTTTCCTAATAGAAAGTGCGCCACAAAAACCACATTATGCCGCCGTCTTCTTTCTCTCAAATCGAGGATGAACACCCTCCAAAATGTACCTGAATGAACCACTTCGCTCGCCTCCACTTCCCATGGCGCACCACTCTCTAGCTCCTGGCGTGGTCGGACGTGGCATCGGGGCTGCGCAACCACAAAACTTTTAGCGTTTGTTTTGGTTTTCACGCTGCTCCCTTGCCCGCATGTATTGGCTAAATTAATATTCTCAATTGAAAACTTTCGAACAATAGTTGTTGGCAGCAAAGTTTTTCAAAGCCATTACACTAAGAAAACGCTGTAAGGCCTCTGGTTGGTTCACCCGTAAGCAGTTATGGAGTGACAAAGTTCATAATTTTGAATATTATTTTTCATGACTTACAATCCATCATAGTTGTTGGAAATGAGCAGATTGGAAAAAAAATTATTTTTCTCAGTTCATAACCGCCAAGGCTGCAGAAAACTTTTGTGTGTGGTGTTTGGTGTTCCATTCTAATAAGTCGCCAGCTATCTAACAATTCAAATCTAGGAAAATTTCAAAATTCAATTTTCAGTCGAATGGAATAAGCACAAAAAGACTTCATCCCATCCTCATTGGCATACTCTGCTCCAAGCCGCATGACCAAAGGCCCGAACCCATATCGAAAGAATCTCTCAGGAGCCCCATTCCCACCACTCAAGGTGACAGTCAAGTGAACAAGCGTTTTTGAAAACTTGCCTGAATAGATTATTAGGAATTATCAAAACTTATTCTTCCAAGGACTGCTCAGCGAAAGGGGGGAACTGGGCCAATGCGGGCTAATGAATCCCGAAAGTATCTGGGGCTGATGATTTAGAGCCAGGTGACAAACAAAAAGTCCAGCGCCACTTGAAAGACGGCTTTTGAAGTGGTTGCCGACGTGAAACTTTTGACTTGAAAGGCGGTAACCTGGCAAGCCCATTGATTCTGCAATGTCTTTGTTGTGGACTCCGACAAATACGAGAGTAAGCGGCTTAGGAGGATGACTTGGAATACTTAAAAGATTAAAACATTTGACTTTAGCTTTTACAGTAGTTACAGCTATAATTGTTTGGATTTGGATTTGTTGAAAAAACTGACGTCAATAGCAGAAATATATAAAACTTTGAAAAAAAATTAAGAAACTTATATTGAGAACGATCTGTATTAAGTCGATTTTAAGACTGAAGACTCCTCCACCAAGCTTCCACCGAAATTAGCTATTTTAGCAGAGAAAACGATTCTAATGAGGTTGCCCAGCTGGTGGCGGGAACAGGTCTCCCATCTCCAGCCGTGAAACTGTCTTCAATTAAATATAGCCAGTGACACCAGCAATTGGAGTGTCCTTTTGTATTGCCCACCCCGTGGCAGCTAAGCAGACCTGCAACAGGCATCCATTGGGACCTTCAGTGAGCTTCTCTTGCCCCCCGTTTCCTGTCCCTTACTTCTCCGGTGTTAATGCCGTAGCGCCACATTTGCAAAGGAGGACGAAAACCCAGCGTCTCAGTAGCCGGAAAGAATACTTAGGATACCTTTACCTCGCCCTCGTCCCCTGTTCAAGTCGCTAATAGCCGAGGCAAACGGATGTGCAATTAGTTGTGTGCCAGTTTCCGGCTTTGGCT